TTTAAACAGAGAATGTAAAATGAGATAACAATGGGCTCTAAAATCACAATGATTGGTGTAACTAATCAAATTTTTACTTTATAAGCTTAGTATCATGTCCTAACAATTTAAATTAATTTTAGATAGTTATCCCATTCAACGAAGTTCGGAGGGATATAGGGAACGGGCCTCCGTCCATCCATCGGTCCGTCTGTCCCTCCATCCGTACGTCCGGGCAATAACTCAAATACCGTCAGCCCGATTTTGTTCATATTTTGTAAGCATATACCCTATGGGGGTAGAAGTTCTGCACGAAAGCCGATTTCCAAAATGGCCGCTCATTTCAAAATAGCGGCCATTTTAGTGCCAATTTTACAGTAATTTAGGTGCAATATGTAAAATTGTAATAGCAATATCTTTTAAATGAAAAAATATTATATAGGACATTAATAGAAATGTAGATATTAAAGAAGCACATGGCAGCCATCTTGAAAAATTGTGGCCTTTACTTGTTATTTTACGATTTTTGCTGTAACTCGAAAAGTAGTGGAGTGATTTCGTTCATATGTGGTATGTGAATACTATAAGCATGGCACACTGTCTAATGACACTTTTGGTAGAAGGTGGCCATTTTAAACATAGCCACCATTTTAACGTATTTTACTATAAAACCGAAAAATTGTGGAGCGATTTTGATCATCTCTGATATGTGAATACTATAAACATGGCAAACTGAATTTTTGGAATATCTTAAAAGTGGTTCAGATTTTCATTTATTGAAGATATAATTCAAGATTAATTCAAAAAGATGAATATTCTTGTGGATACATGTAGTATTCGGATCAATTACTATTATTACCACCTTGCGGGACATGTTTTAGGGGTATTAGTGCTAGTTTAGGTGGCATTTATGCATATGTTACTTTATCGACCTGAGCAATAATTCTAATAACGTCATTTCTGCGGGCAATATTAAACAAATACTGGATGATCAGGAGCTGGATATGGCAGAATACATATTCGAAAAAAAATATTGGGCGAGACAGTATTAATTAATTTCAATAGAAAGTTTGGGTTCTAGCATTGCCTCATGGGACAGTCTATTTTCTACTGAATGAAATAATCACGGTAAACGCTTTTCTATTACTTAAGTTATTTGCTTGTAGGGATGCTTGTAGAGCCTGTATCGCAAAAATCATATGTACGCCACATCATATCATATGCTTTATTGATGTTAAAATCCATTTTTAAAAATAGTGGAAACGTATGTAGGAATATATGTTTTATCATTTAAACTTATCATTAACAATTGGCGGATCAACGAAAAACAAGATGATGTTAAAAGAAAGTGAACTAAATGGAACCATTATCTGTTATCATTTTGAATGCAAAACATAGTCAAACAGACGATTTTAGTTTCAATTAAATAGATAAAATCAATATGTCATATATACTAATATTAATAACCTTTCAAAAAAACTTCTAAAATATCAAAATCTAATATTTTTTATATATTTTTGTGAACCCCTGTTAAACTCCTCAATAATTAGTAAAATAAGTTTATTGAACATCTTGAACATCTAATGTACATCAAGATAAAATCAATATGTTATACTAGTAAGCTTTCCAAAAGCCGATTAACGACTAGCTAGATAATCTGTTGTAAACTTCAAAACTATCAAAATCTAACATTTTTGTTGACCCCTCCCTGTTATACCCTTCAATAATAAGTAAACGGTAAAGTCCTCAACAGGTGAAAATGTATGTGATAATATATGTTTTATCATTTACACATATCATTTAACAATTGGCGGATCAACAAAAACAAGATGATGTAAAGATGACAAAACGGAACAATTATTTCTAATCATTTTGAATGCAAAATATAATCAGACAGACGATCTTATTTTCAATAAAACAGATAAAATCAATAGGTCATGCTAATAACCCTCTCAAAAAACGATTCATGAGTAGATAATTCTTTGTAAACTTCAAAAATCCCAAGTTCTAATATTTTTATTTTTGTGGACCCCTGTCAAAACCCTCAATAATAAGTAAATGGTAATGTTGACAAGTGCTCAACAAGTGAAAACATATTCAGGAATATTTGTTTTATCATTTAAACTAATCAAAACAATTGGAGGATGAACAGGAGGAAACAGCTTAATTAAGGCTTATCTGAGGAATTCCATTATCACTAACAGGCATCGTACGGCGCCCGCAATCAATTGAATCTGAAAGACATCTCACGGGTATCGCAAGGCTATCGACCGATGGCCGTACGGGACCCGCCAGGACATCGGTCGATTTACAGGCCTCTAGATTTATACTTAATCCCTGTATTACCCAGTATGACTGTTCCACATGGCGTGAATGCAACATTTGAAAACGAAATACTTTGATAAACAGGACTTCCAGGATAATAATGTTTTCATGCAATAAAAATCAGAAAAAGAAGATCCTCTTTTGAGTAAATAGGTTCAATATTTAGAAAAAATTTTGACATGGGGTCCCTATTCATCATTTTTCGAATTGTTTGATTGATATTTTTATCATCATGGGTACTTCAATTGAAAGAAAACATATTGTTTTAATAAAAACACTCTATTTGTGCCCAGAAGGTACTCATGGTGAAAGAGACCGTCTAAAATCACTTGCCATACTGGACGTGGTCTTTTCATCAAAGTGCACCCTGATCTTAATTCATTTTTAGATCTTTCATATAAAAAAATACTATGTCTACCTGTCCATCCGATGCTATTAGCAAAATTCCCTATTTCTCCATATTTCTTTCGTCTGTTCTTGTAAAGAGAATTAGTTTGGTCAGAAAAATATGGCTTCAAAGAAATTGGCATATTTCTTCTGTTTCAAGTCGAGTACCCGCTTCCCTATAGACACATCTAAATCTTCATCGTCCACCAGCTCAGTAGCATTGTTATTGTCTTTTTCCACCTGTCTTCCCAAGGCCTTCCTCATATATGGCCCATTGGCCTTATCCCCTCTATCCTTAGCCTTTGGCATATTACGTTGTAATTGAGACGTAATTAATCGTAGTAAAATTGTGACCCTTGAAATTACTGTATTCACAAAAACATTCCGAAGGTTTTTAAAATAAATGATTTGTAATGGTATATGCATGAGTGAATATACGCATAAAAATGTAACACTCTATTCAATGTGTATGACAGACATACACGATTAATGTCAATATAAGAACGACTAGATCAACCCACCCACCCAGCCATTCAAATGTGTGCCATTGTTTTATATTATTATGTCGCTTTTATTCCCATAATAAAATGGATTAAACATGTAAACATAAATCAATCAAACAATACAACAATAACCAAAACATATATAACATTTATACACGTAATAAACAAAGAACAAAATATAACAAAACAAATAATTATAAAAGTTTACAAAGTTAAAAGCAAGTAAAAAATTGCACCTCTGGGGTTTTAATTGCACGTCATAACTCAACGGTTATAGCTTATTGGAACGGTGTGTTTAATTCTACATTAGAGTTTTTAATTATATTGCTAAAGTAAGGCAACACTATGTTTATCGTTTTCAAATTAACACAGTCGCTAAAACAAGAAAGGCCTTTCACTGACACTGGAAGAGGGGCTTTAACGAATTCTCTGAGAAAAATCCCAGCTTCAGACTGACCTATAGCCACAGTGATTCTATTCAGCATACTGTTTCGTTCTGGAGCAGTTTCCGTGCACATTGCTGCTCTGTGTGAGATAATGTCTCCCTCTAGTACTCCACAATATTCACAAAGCTCAGGTTTATTTGGGTAAGCTTAATCGTTCCATTTATGTTTTATAAAAATCTCTGACAGTGTGTAGTAATTATAATTCCTTACCTCATTATTTTTAAAACCTTTATATCACTTTATAAGTAATCATTATTAAGATTTATCCAACAAATCAGCACGCAAAATCCAAAGATGACCGTGCGATGCCACCGGGCGCCGTAAGATAATCGTACGATGATCGGGCGGGACACGGCCGGGTAGGTACCGATGAGTTTGGTTGAGAAAAAATCGCCAAGACATCGGCAACTTTTATCTCCGCGATAAAACTCTGCCGGCGCCCGTACGATGTCTAAAAATCGGCCGATGAGTGGCGATCATCGCCCGGCGCCCGTACGATGCCCGGGCTCGCCGGCCGATTTTGAACAAAATACTCATCGGCCGGGCGCCGCAGTGAAAATCGGAGCCTATGTGACCAAGGCATTAGTAAAAAAGGGGCTCCCAATGAGGTAGCCCTATTATCATGTTTCCATTATGTTTTTATGTGATTTCCGTAACGTGCAAACTCTGTTTATAATGTCACGACCGACCACAAGTGATGATATGTTGTTAAAGTCTTTATATTTCAGAATTATCTCCAAGTTCTGAGATGTTCAAATCTGACTTTAGATTTGAAATTTGACTTTAATGACCTTCTCAAAGTAGAAAAATCATTTTTCAACTTGCTTCAAATCGACCAAATTGCTTTTTATATCATTTACACGTATTCAGAAGTTCAAATTTAGGTTTAGATATGAACTTGACCTTCTCAAGGTCAAAACGATCTAATTTCAATTTGATTCAAATTTGCCCTTTTTTCAAAATCATCCACAATTTCTCGGAAGTTCAGATTTGACTTTAAGTTTGAAATCTGACATTTCGTTGACCTTCAGTGACCTTCTAAAGGTGGTGCCATTTTGTCATGTTAACGCCTTGTTACACCCTTTCATTACAAGTAAGACAATATGAACGTGACTTTAACGATTGTAGTTGAAAACGTTGTCCGATGCTTTGGTTTACAGTTTACACCCTAAATATGTACATTCATTGGACAAAACCATGAACACTATTAGACAGAATTTTTTGCACCTTATCGTCAACCCCGCCTTTAATAGCCCCAGTGCAATTGCTCCGTAATGCCGTGGTCGCATTTGCTCCGATTTTCAGCACCGGCGCCCTGCCGATGAGTATTTTGTTCAAAATTGAATACAATTTTGAACAAAATACTCAATCGGCCGGGCGCCGTAGTAAAAATCGGAGCAAATGTGACCACGGCATATTCTGTTGTCCGTGTCAGGTTGAGCATTTTTGTTTCAGTGTTCAATCTGCTTACAAAACTGTCAGCCATGAAGCTCGCAATTGCAGTGTGTTTGGTCGCTGTGTTTTACATTGCTGGTGCAGCAGTCCTCAATAATGGTAAGAAGATATCCTAAACAAATTATAGTGAAATTCAAGAGGTTCAATCTAGTATGTATCCAACAGACTGACTAGAAGTCAGTCTGAATATAATTCAGACTACAGTAAATAGGATATAGTCTAGGTTCAATCAATGACAATGTATATTTCGATCCCTGTGCTACATTTCCGCACATTTAGTTGGAAAAATCCACCACGTACAGTCCCTAATTTACAAAGGCCACAGCTTTTCTGCATATTATACAGAATTATCTGCACATTATACAGAATTATCTGAAATATACAAAAGTTAGGACTTGAACAAATGTTTCCATTTTCTCGTATACTGCTGTTGCAATATAGTCATTTGATTGCTTATTTTTTAATTCAATGTAGTTCCAAACATTTAAGGCCAGGGTGCATGATGGAACATTTTTCTGCATTCCTGAATTGAGTCACATGTTATTTTTCAAACAAGAATTACTCCCTCCCCACATTGTCTGCATCTTCAAGGTTTGCACAAGGAGTGCACTTATGCAGTGGTTTCAGTAACTTTCTGTACAAGGGACATATGGAAAAAACAAGAGGCGCCATTCAAAACAACCAATTTTACACTCCCTGAAATGCAAATTCTTGTCCATGGACAAATGAATAAGGGCATGGACAGGCTTTGCCAAAAAGATGTCCAGGATTTTACTTTTTGCAGGTTTGTCAAAGTCATTTCCCCGTGTGATATTGGGTCAGTTGGATTGACCACAAGACATGGGCTACACAAATGACACCTTACACTGTGGGATGACTATTGCAAAAATAAGTTAACTTATATAGAATGTCATTTACCTTTTATGAGATAACTTACCCTTACATAGGGTGCAGTTTACAAATTCAAATGCATTTGCTGAATTGAACACTTTTAATATAGAATGCATCCTGTGTACATACGTATATAATTTACATCGAAATTTAAGGTATCTGCTGACTTTACAGTCCCCATGTTGAGTTTGAAAACATGTTTTTTCATATATTTACTATTTATCATATGTGCCTAGAAAAGACTTGTCAGAAAATCTGTTTTGTAAAATGCATAAAAAACGAGAAAATTTAGTGAAAAAATATTCTGAAATTTTTTTGAATTTTTTCACTAAATTTTCTCGTTTTTTATACACTTTATCAAAACATTCTTGTCACAAGTCTTAGGCACATAAGTGCACTCTTTGTGCAAAACTGGAAGATATACAGTTGGGGACAAAAATAAATGACAGGTCGATTTTCGATCACCATTTCCTAATTATGGTGGTCTGAAAGCCCATAATTTCCAATATTGTCTAGATACATATCCCTTAAAATTTGTATATTTTACATTTTATATAATCTCATCCACTGATTTATGGCCTCTTGTAAATTCTCTTATTTTTAACATGGGAAATCCTCACTTCAGCAAATCCACCTGTCATTTATTTATGTCCCCAACTGTAGACAATGTGGAAAAGGAGTGATTATTGTTTGAAAAATAAAATGTGACTCAATTGAGGAATGCAGAAAATGTGCATGCACCCTGACCTTAGAATTATACTGTAGTTGGCAGGAAATGACAAAACAAAAAATGTCAAAACCATGCTGGATTTTGAAAAATTTTTGAACCAAGATAACAGAGCTCTGTTTGGACTTCCAGTCAGTTTAACTAGTTCCACATATCATGTACATGACCAGGAACACAATGAAAATGGTCAGAATGACCATAAACATGATGAAATAACCTTTTCAGCCCTCTGAAAATGTGACTGAAAAATAACTAAAAGTAGGTGCTCAGGAAAGTTCAATGAACAGAATCTTTTGATTTTTTCAGAGAATGTGTCTAATATATTGCTCTAAATGATACAATCTTTGAAATTTAAAAAAATCGTCTGAAACAATAATGGCTGTAGTTAAAAGGAAAATAGATCAATTTTAAATTCATTTTTTTCATTTTTTTTCTTTTTCTAAGAATGATATGAATTTTTTTTAAATTGTATCATTTAGAGCAATATATTGGGCACATTTTCTGAAAAAGTCAAAAGATTCTGTTCAGTGACCTTTCCTCAGCACCTACTCTTAGCTATTTTTCAGTCACATTTTCAGAGGGCTGAAAAGGTTATTTCATCATGTTTATGGTCATTCTGACTATTTCCATTGTGTTCCCAGTCATATGTGGAACTAGTTAAATTGACTGGAGGACCAAACAAAACTCTGTTATCTTGGTTCAAAAAAATTTCAAAATCCAGTATGGTTTTGACATTTTTTGTTTTGTCATTTCCTGTTAACTTCCATAGCACCTTAACATTTAACGTCCCAAAACCCCACAAACTGCAGAAAAGTATACTCCGTAAATCATATTTACCAAAATGAGTGTCTCCAAGGCTTCATACCAGCGTATGCATAATGCGTTTGTCACGAGTTTGAGTTGAATTTTCGCTAAAATGAAGTGAGGATAATATGTCTATGTCTATGTCAATAATCTGCAAAAGGCTAATAAGCCCATATAAAGCAGATATATAATTTAACATAGTGCAGTCAGTTAGCACTTTAATTGCACTTGCTATATATACGTCACAATTTTTTGACCAAAGTATCATTAATACATATATTTTTGATATCTACCGAAGTGGTGTTAAAAAGTAACCCCAGTGGATAATAACAGGGCTCGAAAATTTTGCATGTTTCCATTGAGTTCAATGTTAATTTATCAATCTTCAAAAGACCCCCTGCAGAGGAGTTCAAGAACAATAAAGTCAATCTTCCTAATATGTAACCGTGACTTAAATGTCTTCAAAATAAGAAGGGTTACAAGCTGGATTTTGTCTAGTTCAAAATATATTGGTGTTTGAATTTTGGAAAATTCCCATTGACGGCCATTATAAACTACTTTTAATATGGCCTTATTAAAGTGTCATTTTTTCCAAAATTCCACTATGGAATTTTTTGATATTGCAGATTTCTATAGCTAATATATTGACTTTTAAAAAACCAAACAGGCACATTTCTAAAAATTCATTATTTTTTATATATCTAACCATTGAGTTCCACACGAAAACTCTCATTGGCTGCCATTATAAAAGCTATCAACATGGCTTTACTAATAAAGTGCCATTTTCTCCAAAAGTTCACTATGGAATTTTCTGATATTGCAGATTTCTATACCCAACATAATGACTTTCCAAAACAAAACAGGCACATTTTTAAAAATTTCTTATTTTTAATATATCTAGTTATTAAGTTTCTCACGAAAACTCCATTGAGTCCCATGTTAATTTATCAATATTCAAAAAACCCCCTGTAGAACAGTTCAAGAGCAATAAAGTCAATCTTCCTGATATGTAAACATATCTTGCATGTCTTCAAAATAAGAAGGGTTACAAGCTTGATTTTGTGTAGTTCCAAAGATATTGGTGTTTGAATTTTGGAAAATTTCCATTGACCGCCATTATAAAGTTCTATCAATATTGCTTTACTAAAGTGCCATTTCTCCAAAAGTTCACTATGGAATTTTCTGATATTGCACATTTCTATAGCCAATATATTGACTTTCAAAAAACCAAGCAGGCACAATTCTAAAACTTTTTTATATTCAATATATTTATCCTTTAAGTTGACCAAAAATTCCCTTTGGCTGCCATTATAAACTGCTATAAACATGGATTTACGAATAAAGTGTACTTTTCTCCAAAAGTCCACTATCATAACTTTCTGATTTATAGAAATAGGAAATCTGCAATATCAGAGAAATTCATATTGGACTTTTTGGGGAAAGGACACTTTAGTAAAAGCATATTGATATCAGTTTATAATGGCAGTCAATGAGGATCTTTGTATGTGACTTATGGCTAAATATATTAAGAACAAGAAATTTTTAGGAATGTGCCTGTTTGGTTTTTAAAAAGTAAATATATCAACTATAGAAATCTGCAATTTCAGAAAATTCCATAGTGGGTTTTTAGAGAAAATGGCACTTTTTTAGTAAAGCCCTGTTGACAGCGGTTTATAATGGCAGCCAATGGGAGTTTTCATGTGCAACTTAATGGCTAGATATATTAAAAATCAGAAATTTTAGAAATGTGCCAGTTTGATTTTTTAAAAGGCAATATATTGGCTATAGAAATCTGCAATATCAAAAATTCCATAGTGAACTTTTGGAGAAAATGACACTTTGGTAAAGCGATATTGATAGTAGTTTATAATGGCAGTCAATGGGGATTTCCCAAAATTCAATCGTCAATATCTTTTGAACTAGATAAAATCCAACATGTAACCCTCATTATTTTGGAGAAATTCAAGTTATGGTTACATACTAGTAAGATTGACTTTATTGCTCTTGAACTGTTCTGCAGGGGGTCTTTTGAAGATTGATAAATTAACATGGGACTCAATGGAGGTTTCGTAAGCAACTTAATAACTAGATATCTTAAAGATAAGAATTTTTTAGAAATGTGCCTGTTTGGTTTTTTGAAAGTCAATATATTGGCTGTAGAAATCTGCAACATCAGCAAATTCCATACTGTACTGACCCTTTAGTAAAGCCATATTGAGAGTAGTTTATAATGGCAGTCAATGGGAATTCTCTGAAATTCAAACACCAATATCTTTTGAAGTGGACAAAATCTAGCTTGTAACCCTTCTTATTTTAAAAGACATTTGAGTCATGGTAACATACTAGGAAGATTGACTTTTTTTGCTCTTGAACTGTTCTGCAGGGGGTCTTTTGAAGATTGATAAATTAACATGGGGCTCAATGGAAACATGCAAAATTCTCGAAGCCTATTATTATTCACTGGAGCCACTTTTTGACACCACTTCGGTAGATTTCATAAATACATGTAATAATGATGCTTTGGTGAAAAAATGGTGCCGTATATATAGCAAGTGCAATTCAAGGGTTTTATTGTCATAACTGACTGCACTAACAGTGATAGAATTTGAATAGAATATAATCTAAAACCTTAACATTTAAAAATAGATCTATGGTTTGCAACTCATTAAAATGGAAAGGAACTTTCCTTATGTTGAAATACCCTGGGTGACTGTCAGGCTACCGCGTTGACATCTCCGCCGGTTATGTTTATTGTGGTTAGCTTACAATGGGAAGTGCTCAGAAGCAAATAATTCGTGTGCGCAAATTAATCAAATAATCTGATTGGTTTAAACTTTAATGCGCATGATGAGTGACATGCTTCTTTCTAGTGATTTCGTTTCGTTTCATGGAGTGTGTGTTTCAATGTAATTTCCGCAAAAAATGGCTTACCAATGACAGAATTAACAGGTAAAATCACTTCGAATTTAAAATAACTTTTTACCTATAATGGCGAAACTTTTGTTTTATTTGTGCATTCTAGTATCTATCAGATAAGAGTCTCAGGGGTATGTAGGCAAATCCATTTTGGTAGGAGCACTTTGTTTAGTTTGAAAACTCATCCTTTATTATTTTGTATCATCACTTCATGGTTACAGTATGAACGTCGAGCTAAAAAACATTCGAGACATCCAAATAATATCATTTATACCAATATATTTTCAGAACTGACGAATCTCGAAGAGGACAGGCAGCTCGGGTTGATGATAAGCCTCCTGAAGCGATATCTGAAACAGCACGAATTGAGGACCAGATCCAATACAGGAGTGAATCTTTATTTTTCTTTAGTCTCGAGCAATTTGGAGACAAAAAAACACCAACAAAGAATTGTGATGGTCCTAAATGCTGCGAAAATACCATATGAGATAATCGATATAGCATCAAGCGATGAAGGGAAAGCAGCCATGAGGGCAGGTGCAGGGTCAAAGGCCATACCCCCACAGATATTCAATGGCGAGCAATATTGCGGGGATTACGCTGCATTTGACAATGCTGTGGAAGAAGAGACTTTACATGAATTTTTAAAGATCTAAGAATTGAGGGATCCATTGCTCAAAGTGCAGGGACTATGAACACATAGAATCTAGATAGAATAAAACAAACAGTTGCAGCTACGGCTCTCGATTATATAGATATGTTTACAGTAAACGAATGGACTGCCAGGTCAGAATTTGGTTCTAAAGTCAATGCATTTTCAAGGAATGAAAAGTTTTGGTATAATTTGCAAATCATTTTATCCACAAATAACAGCTTATATGAGCTAGACATTAGTAAACAACCAATGTCGGGACATAATCCAATGAGGATCATCTTTAATTATATGCATGGAGTGATCACTGTGGTTTTCATAAGCAATACAATCATATATATTATATACTATGTATACCCTGTATCAGAACGAGATACGTGTACTCGACTTAAGTGTATAAGATAATATTATATAAAAAATATATGTGAAAATACAGACCTTCACAATTTAAAGATCTTAATCAGTTCAAAATGTTCGAATTTTTCTACTTTTGCGGCGGCATAGTCGCCTACCGTGATTGATACATCACTTAAACTCCACACCTAGAAATTTGCTGATATACATACGTATAATTATATAATATGTTATATCCATAAATATTATATCATTAGAAAGAAAATTCAATTTCCAACAGAATGATATATGACATTGCCCTTGGTAATGATTCATAAAATATGAAGGGCTATTGGTGACTCCATGGTCATTTTCGTATCATGGGGTAGTAACAGTCCAAAACAACATTTCGCTATATGGTTTAAACTTAATACATGATATTGCATTGCTTAATCAACACTAGGCTTTCACATATAAAGAAAAAGTATTGGAGTTGAGTTTTATTGTTTGTAAATCATAAAATAATCATGGAACCTATTTGTATGCATTGTAGATCGTTATGAAGTTAGATTGTTAGATACATTGGTATTTGCTTCAAACACGTTTTGCAAAGAAATTCAGTTGATATTTTGCCATAACTCATGATATGGAATCCATTTCCATTATTTCCTCTTTTGGTGTCTTTAATTGCACCGTATACTCTTTAAAATAACAGTTAATAAGTTAAGTTATATACGTACAACATCATTATTGACAAAATGAGTAAATATAACTATTTGATACAGACTTCAGTACATTTAGGCTATATTACCAATACCTATCAAAAAAGTAAATGAGCTCAATAATATCATATTTGTAAATCTATTACCTTTCATTTGGTACATAAATCAACAAGTTTGACGTTCTTCAATTCGAATTATATCCCCAAAGATGACATGGGGGTTATCTGTCTGGTCAGTCCTTAGCATTCTGTATTCAGCAATTGGCAAATCATGATTTTGACCCCTGTGGTAATCGAAATGTTATTTCAAGACAAGTACTCATTCATGTGAAATGAATTATATATCATTTTGTAGGAAATTTAATTGTCTTTCCAATGATGTATGATTTAGACATTTGTCTGTAATATTAATGAAAAACGTTGTGACAAAAACAAAAATGTGGACGTTTTTTGGCCAACCCTGTAAATGTCACGCTCTATTAAGAGATAGGACGTTTTATACTAATAATCCCAACGAACGAAGTTCGGTATGGATATAGTTAAGCCGTCAGTCCGTCCGTCTGGAAGATAAATCGAATACTATTTAAAACGGATTTTCTTCATATTTGTTGGAAAGATGTATATTGGTGAATAGTTTTACGCAAAACTTTTTTTTCAGATGGTTGCCAAATGGCGGGAATTTTTCGCATATATATTTTTCATTATAAACCAAAGTAATAAATATTATTATTTGATATTTTGGTAGTATATTCACAGCATACATCTACTTCACAAATATTCCGTGTTTTTCACCTTAACCCCCAGGGGCCGTGAATGGGGGAGGGGGGGGGGGGTGTAGAAACAAAATTTTGCGTTAATTTCGAGATGTTTAAAAGTATAGCTTTATTATACTCAAATGAAAGGCAATTTAGAGTAGCTTGGAAATATTGTACCATTCTTCTGATTCGGGCCTCGTAAAATTCAAAATGGCCGCCTAATGTGGGATTTCGCAATAATATTCTGATTTCTTAGAAGTATGAAGGAATTTTAAAGTAGATCACAATTATGGAATTGTTTTTCTGATTTGTGCCTCAGAAAAGGCTGCCTAGAACAGGAATTCGCCATAACTAAAGATATATTAAAAGATGGGTACGTAATACTACAATGATCTCAAGTGTTTATTGAAGGGAAGAGTAGATAGTAAATATTACATTGTGACTTTTAAACAATGTTCGTTGGCAACAGTTATAAATTAACAAATGAATAATATATCTTTGTGTTATATAAGATTCCATTTAATATGATATCTACTTTCGGACTGAACAAAACTCCTACATGTTTCTGTAAATTGTACATTGTCTCAATGTTATGAGTAAATAACAAATATGGATGCAAAAAGTTCAGAAAAAGTTGCACAAACTCCTACTGATGGCAGCTAGTTATAGCGTCTCTTTTTATTATTAGACTCCAGTTCAAGTCTATTGTTTTTGCCTGAGGCCGTTCAAGGGGCCTCTTATAATTTTTGTAGTTATTCTTCTTATAAGGAGGCCCCAACAAGTAACAATGAGTTTCAAAACAGTACAAAATATATCACTCGACTAAAGTAATGTTATATTTATTAGCATCCTTTTTGGAACTGCACTTGGAAAACTAGGTGGCCTATTCTAGAAAATATTTCCGCATTCAAGCTGACGACATTTTGTTCATGGTTGTCAATTAGTTGCTATATGGAACTATATTATGTGTATGTATCTTAATTTATAGACATTTCCCCAAGTGTCTGTAATACACCTGCGTTTCGCTCAAACTAGTTGGAGTATCGCATATTTCACGCTTCAGCCAGCATCGTTTACTTGCTTCAGGATGCAAAGTATAGACAAATCCAACACATTGACGCTGTTGTTGGCACAGAACTGAGCACGTTTCCTTATCCACGTCATGACTGGATATATCGTTACCGCTGCAATCTCCCTCTTTGAAAGCGTACAAGTCGAGGAGTCCTGTGAAACACATTACAAATACAAATGTACTATATGAACAAATAACTGTGATGTCACAATTCACGAAAAAAAAGATTTTATGATCTAAACGTTAATGTTAAATGTTAGAAAAGAATGGCCAATGTGTCTATCTCTATCTCTATCTGTGGCAGCTCTGGATCTCAGAAAAATCATTTACTGTGCATTATGTATGCCTCCTGAAACTTTTGTTGCCATTCATAAGTCATTATGAAATCAATTGTTCGATATTAAATATGAGAGACCAAAGGGTTACATATTTTGTAAATTTCTAACCGATTCACATTTTACATGAAACCAATACGATCGATCTATTCCATATTCCAATGCTTATTCACTGGTGGATCTTGGGGGACAGGGCCCGTACCTCCCTTCATTCTCCCCCTCCCCTTAAAAACCAGAAAGAAAACTGGCCAAATATACTATGGTCCAAAATCTTTTAAAGGCCCTAATTAGTGGGTCTTTTTGGCATTACTAAGCCTTTTAGACTCTATTTTTAATTTAGCCCAAATTACTAGTATAAGGAAATGGGCCTTTTTCCATATGAGCCCTATTTTTAGGGGCCCATTTTTTCCTCGTAAGTGTGGAAAAAATGTCAGACTTGAAATGTTCTCCCAACCCGTTAGTTTTCAGATCCGCCACTCATAGTTGTTCCAAACTGACGATGACTATATTGTAATATAGATTCAAATTGTTTTGCTTTGATTTTGTAGAAATTCTTTCATTTTGATCGAAATACCATCGTGAACGAGGTATCTGGTTTACTCAAAATTCAGTACAGTTTTCGATATATTTAGGTTATACTCTTACCCAAGGGTCGTTTCCCACAGTGTTTATAATACGTCTGGGTTTTGGTCATACTAGTTGGAGTTTCGCATATTTCACGCTTCAGCCAGCATCGTATACTTGCTTCATTATGCAAAGTATAGACAAATCCAACACATTGGCAGTCTTGATGACACAGAACTGCGCATGTTTCCTTATCAACATCATAACTGGATATATCATTGCCCTCACAAGTTCCCTCTTTGAAAGCGTAGTAGTCCAGGAGCCCTGTGAAACATATATTACAACTATCACATATTTACTATTTATATATTGACTAAATGTATTAATGGATGGTGATATCGATATAGGATCAGGGATATTATCCATGTCGAGGTGGGACTTGACTACTGTTATACCATTCAGAATGGTTTGAAGCATCGAGGTAATTCTGAGTACTGGGGGATTCATACGTTGGCTCTGAGGACCGGTGTAAAAGGGGAGGTGGTCCTATCAAATTTTGGTCCTACTCTCTATTGATTTATATGGTGACCTAATCACAATTATTTTCCTTATTATTTATACACAGTCAGGGCCAGTAAGGGCCGTAAGGAAAGGGGACCATAATCCCCAGGGGACCATAATTTCTTTTACAGTCAAATCTCGATTTAATTTTTTTTGCTCATCCCGAGTTTTTCCAAGTCTCGATTTTCTAAAACCCCGATTTTGCTCTATCAGAAAGATAATTGATTATTTGATTACTAGTGATTATGATGTGTTACTTGGCTTAATGCACATGATATATCGAGTATGTATTAATAAAACAGATAGTGAAAGCCCTTAAGTGTGCAATATGCAATTCGAAAACGTATTTGTCAAATTACCTCGTATGTAAATCCCGATTTTTTAGCAATCACGATTTCTTTAAAAAAAATCCAGATTTTCTCTCAGATTTTTCTTTAAAAATCCCGACTTCTCCCGATTTTTTTAACTTGAAAGGTATGCAGATGGCCCTATGTAGATGTTCATAAAAATGTGAGCACTACATATCCATAACGTCGTGTACAAATATCCAAGTTCCAGAGGTAAGACAATCTCGATAAAATTGTTAAATAACAAGAGCTAAAAAAAGTTTGACTTTCTCCGAGCTTCTCACCCTTTGCATGAGGTCTGCCCATAGTAGGTGTTCGAAAATGACAATTTCGTAATCTAGATTAAAATTGTTTTGCTGCGATTTTGTAGGAACTGTTTATACATTTTGAAAGACCATCGTGAACAAGGTATCGGGTTAAATCATAATTCAGTACAGTTTTCAATATATTTAGGTTATACTCTTACCCAAGGAGCGTCTTTTACAGTGTTTGTAATACGTCTGAGTTTCGCCAATATTAGTTGGAGTATCGCATATTTCATGCTTCAGCCAGCATCGTATACTTTCTTCAGGACGCAAAGTATAGACAAATCCAACACATTGACAGTGTTGATGACACAGAACTGCACATGTTTCCTTATCCACATTATGACCGGATATATCATAACCAACACAGTCACCCTTTTTGACAGCGTAGAAGTCAAGGAGCCCTGTGAAACATATATTACAAATGTCACATATTTACTATTCATATATTAATTAATGTATAAGTGGATGGTGATATTGATAAAGGACCAGGCATCCCTGTGAAACACGGTATATTGCTTTAACTACGTGGCACTTGATAGGTCAGATATTTGAATTATGTTTGCCTTATTATAAATCTACAAGCTGCAAAAGTGTATGATAATCGAAGAAGCTGCAAAAAATAAAATGTATTGGCAATTTGTGTCAAATCAATCATAAGGATTCAAACTGGATATGCCAGAAACGGCTCCACTGCTCTTACATGTTTTTCTTGAGTTTTTAATGCCCTTTGGTATTTATTTTAATATTCCCTGTGCCAACATATCGTTATTTCTTTTAATTTCTTTCTGACGTGTGTAATATGTGCTATAAAGTTGACATTTAATTTTCATATGGTTTACCATATATAAGTTTCGCTTCATGCATTTCAAAGTGAGTTGAAAAATAAGGGTGGTGCTGATGTCACATACCAGTGTTTACTGTTGGTCTGGCTTCCAATCGTTCCAAGAGATTAGTTATTTTGTTATCAATTTTACGTACTTCAGCCGACAAGTTAACAATTCCGCTTACCACGTTGTCCGTTTTCTCACACGGTTGAGCTAGTGTCAAACCTAAATATAACATATAATTCAATGAAGATCGATTGCTAATTGCATATTGTTAATTGTATTATCCTTATTTACCAAAAGCGTATGCTTCGGAGAGTAATGACATTAACACAAACTGCTTATGTACGGCACGTTTATATAGCATTTCTAAGTATTTTTCATGCGCTTCTCAGTGATACTATTTTCTCTAGAAAGATTTGATGTGATATACCATATATATTTTATAGGTGAAATATACCCCGACATCGTCAAAACGTTGTGAGACGTAACACTTTACCCTTGCACTGTTCATTATGGATAACGTTTGAAATAAAAAATCAGAACCCGACTAAAATTTTACGTTTTGTTCATTGAACAATGGGCATCAACAACGTTGTTACATCATAAATATGTTACGGTCACAATTTGAATTTTCATATATGGACGATCTTAGCATTTTTAAAATTGAGTGTGTAACACATCCATTTTTTACCTAAAACGCCTTGCCTTTCAATTTTCACTAACGCCTCAAGCGGATCTCCCGACCTTTTTCAATATAAATGAAATATTTTAGAAATATTGCCCTCGAGACCTTGTTGCATTGTTATTTTTGTAACGATTGAATAAGGATAAAGTAATTCATTTTCAGGCAGACTAAAGTTGAAAAATGTAACGGTCATTGTTTTGACGCCATACGGCTATTTGCAAGTTATATTCTACCATTATTTCAGCTGTTTTGTTTTGGAATTTTGACGCCATCATGTTACGCAAAGTGTCCCCAGTTTCGTGCGACGTGTAAGTTAATGACATTCTTGCAGTGACTTACCTAAGCTAAATAACAGGATAACGTTACCACCATATTGAAGATCCATTTTGTTACTTGTGAATATACGTGTATCTCAAACTCGGAAATTTTACATTAATGGTTCAATGTAATTTGCGCAATATATTTATTTGATATTTCACTGGAAAATGGCTCTTTTCTATGAAACAATAAAAGCTTATATACATCAGAGTTGTTATTTCTTTCTTCATTCCATTAGGTCAGCTTGTTCATCAATATTTACTGAGAATGGTGCCACAATCGAAGTAAACTTCTGGTTTTCAATACACCTATCAACAAGCATATTAATTATAATTTTGATGTCCCGTTACAAGTCAAACGTTGATGCATACATCATATGTGTACATTAATTGTCGAATACATGCCGGCTCACATTTATATAAATATCCACAGTTTAACTCAAATCATCAATGTTCGAAACGTTTATCATCTAGCCTGGTGAGTCTAATGTTTCGTTTTAATTCAAAATTATGGTATCGGATTTGAGTATGATTTTAGATGAGGCTCAAACAAAGCAATGAAAATGCATGAAACCTCTTGTAAATCCTCCTTCAAAGTGTCACCAAAGTGCTCCCCGGGAATGGAAATTTCGTCTAGTGCAATCAGAATAATAGCGAGTAGTAATTTTTTCTTGAGTTTATAGCTTGCATCTCTAATTTAAAAACTTATCATCTAATTGAAAGTACATGCAGTTTTTGGCTTAATATGGTAAAAAACACGAGTTGACACGTCGACTTTTAGAATTGTAATTTCCTACATAATTGTCGACTCATGTTTAAAAGTCATGAAATCAAGGTTGAACATAAAACATTGACTCAGTTACTGTTTACAACAATACCAACAATATTGAAATCAAGTAATTAAGAATTGCAAATGACAACCCCCCCCCCCCCTTGACACCCCCTCCCCCTTGCGACTTTGTATTATAAAGCTGCACTCTTGGGAAATTCACAAATCAGGCCATCCACAAGGTCTTCTTAAAGTTTAGGTTTTTGGATAGTAAAGATACAAATACTCTTATTTTAAGAGATTTAGTTTTTTTGTAATGAAATCGCTACAGATTGTAGAGGCACTACATTACAATACATCTACCAACTTTTATAACATATAATCTAAATGTGTTAAAGTTACGGTTGTTATGGTTACGGTGGTGAGGGGTATGCGGAGCAGTTCCAGGATATCGCTAAATTGTTATAAATTGCTAAAATATAACCATTTGAAATAGTGTTTATTATTGTATTTCTTATCAGTTTTTTTGTCCGATATTGTATTCTTGCTGCCATAGTATTTTCTTTAGTATAATGGTATCATTGATACATATCAGAACTATGTAATGTCACAAGTATAATGAAAGAAAAAGAGTGTATAAGTGCTTAGAAAAAGTGTCCCTGGATTAATGGGAAAGCCAATAGTGCACCTCCACAGTCAATATTCCAATGCACAAACCAAAGAAACAAATCTTACAACTGAATGTCTTGGCATTAACCTTTTTGTACAATGGCCCATATTTCCCTGATAATGTCCCATTGGACTTCTACATTAATGAATATGTTAAAGCAATATTTGTGAAAATGTCAACATAAAAATCAGAGTCGGCTGGAAACCAATGTTATCAGCAATCTTAGAGACTGACAACAAAGGTTTTGTCAGGTCTTTGAATCTTCGGTCAAAATGCACCAAGAATCTTTAAATAAATGTGGAAAATACATTATACTGGATAACAGTAGTAATGTTAAATGATTAAATAATGTTACAGTACTAATCCTTTTGCTGTTGTGGTACATAATTTGATGCATAATAGCAACAGACGACGGAGTGTCAAAATTATATGAACAGGAGAAAATAATTTTAAAACATAATTGTGACGCTGCTCCACATACCTGTGACTCCTGTTACCATAACAACCATAACTTTTTTATTTTGAAACAATTTGTCATGACAGTTGCAGGATAAATTGTTACAATGTCATTCTACAATCTGTAGCAATTTCATCTCACAATAGGTAAATCTAATGAAATAAGAGCATGTGTATCTTTACTTTCCGGACACCCTGTATGTAGTCCAAAAATAAAAATAAAGAAACTGATGTTTGTTTTTGATATTGAATAACATTTTAAATTTGGTTTAGTTAAGTTTAAGTGCTATTAACAGTGGTGGTTACAATACATTACTAACAGCTAGATAAAGCATTATATTTCTTCTCTGTCTCGTTTAAAAGTTTGTTATACTGGGTGATCCATAAGTAACGTAAAACATGTTGCTTTTTCAATACTACTGGACCAATCTTCATGAAACTTGATGCAGATGTTTCCAAAATCATAGCTGAATGTATATCCTAAATGTAAAGATTCTACTTTTTGATTTGTCGATTTTATGGTAACTATGGTAACCTGGTGTGACGTCAGCTGGGGCAAATTATTTGTTTCAGTAGGAAATGGAATGACAATTTTAAAAAGGCAATATTAATGTTCTTTTTAAACACTTTATTTTCAAAATCATGAACATTTAATTGCTCAGTTGTGTGCAATTGCAACCAGAAGCAATTAATTTCTCATTGTACTACTAACTCGGCAAACATTCTCAAAATCCAATAATATCCGATAACTCAATTTTGGAATGCTCCAACAACATATTTCTTAGTGTCATCTGAAGTTTGAAAACTGATTCCATTTGCTCCCCAAACAATTTCCTGGTTGTCAGGTAGGCATTTTGGGCTGGGGCCTTATCCAAGTAAAAGCTTTTTTTGTATTTTGTTTACCACCAATGAAGGTGAGAAATACCTCTTGGGTATATCCCGTATATATACGATCGTAACTAACGTCATTAACGTCACCCATACATAGACATACACGTACACACCACAGCCTTTTGTACGAGTTGTGGACCACTCAGTCAAATTCCCTAAGCAAATTGTGATGCTCGGTTGAACCATAGGATTGAAAACCCACGGTTGAACACTTTCTCAGAAGATAGAATAATTGATAAAGTACGTTTGACATAATGCTACTCTGATGTTTGGATGGTAACAGGAAACAAAAAAAAATGTACATTGAAAGATTATTGATATTCATTTTGGTTTATCAAGTCGAGAAGAGTTTTTAGTTATTTCTTTCGCAAAATTGAATTTGCCCCGGGTGACGTCACATAGGGTTACCATAGTAACCATGAAATGAACCAATCAAATAATAAAAGCTTTATTTTTATGATGTTAATTCATGAATGTTTGGTGAACATCTGTACCAAGTTTCAAGATGATTGGTCAAGCAGCATTGAAATGGAAACACCTTTTACGTTACTTCTGCATCACCCTGTACATCCTTGTAGATATTTCATTATTCGTTACACCCACATTGACATTTTTTATCAGGTACTAAATTAAATATTTTCTTGACAATAATGACAATAAAGCCCAACTGTGAACAGCATTAAATATCGAAGCCGTTGTGATATTCTTTAATCACTACGGGCTAAAGGTATTATATATCTCGTTTGTCTCCTTAAACGTTTTTATTACAACCTTTTCTAATTTATTATTAACGCCCCGTTATTAGACACGTCGTACAAACGCATACTTGTCAAGTAAAAAAAATCGGGATTCTTTTTTTAATTGGGAGGAATCTGAATTTTTATGAAAATTCGGGGTGAAAATCGGACTTTTTCTCGAAAAATCGGGAGAAAATCTGGATTTCTATGAAAAAATGCATAGATTTCATTTCAAAATCGAAAGGATTTCATTCGGTGTTTTCATTAACTGGAATTTCTAGAAAAAAACGTGAGAAAAATCGGGGGTATATAAAAACTATATCAACACTTCCAAAAAATTGGAAGAAAATCGGGATTGCTAAAAATAAATCGGGAGAAAATCGGATTTACAAAAAAAATTGGCAAGAAAATTCAGATTGCTAGAAAATCGGGGTTATCATTATGTAATTTGACAAATATTACGTTTTGGAATGGTATTTGGGTCGTTTACTATCTTTGTTTATTAATATATACCAGGAACTGTACCTGGTACATGAAATATCATCTGCATTAAAACCAAGTAAAGCATCGTTATTAATTAATGTGAACACACCCTCACAAATTGATTTTATGATGATACAATTTAACCTAGCTTTTATCATGGTTTTCCATATCTATTTGGACCTCACATGGCATTACTTGAAAATTCGATTTATTTCTGGTCTATATATTACATGACTGTAATTAGCTAGTGTATTTTGTTTTATCACAAAACCTATCGCATACTTTCATTTTTGCGAGGGCGTCTCATTTGGGAGTTTTGAACAAAAATCGGAAGGGTATCATTGAAAAATCGGTAGTTTTTACACTCAAAACCGCTTAAGTGTAAAATTAATTTTGTTAAAAAGTGAAAAAAATCCTAAAATGTTTTTTTCAAATAGATATATAGTATATATCTTCAAACATTTGTACATTCGTTACCCAAAGCATTAAAGTAAACTCCAAGGAACAATAGGCCAATTTTCAAATTGAAATTAGGGTCCGTCTCAAACATGTCGATTTTCACACCTTGACCCCCTGATTAATGTGTCAAGCTATTCAAATTAGAATGCATCATTTTCAAAAAACCAAGAACGTTCCTTATGGTACTTAACTGTCCTTTAAAATCGCAAATTGATTTGGACTGCATGCTTAAGACGATAAGAAAATGATAACAGTTTTATTTGGGAAGAATTGATCTTTAGGCTAGTTCACTATTCATCCGCACGTCGATTTTCACAAGACAATTAGAAACAAATGGCAATGAGTTAGAAAGTTCACTTTAGGGACCGCTAACTTCACGAATCGACATTTTTGATATGTAGGATATAACAAGCTGAACTGAGAAACAACCAGTGTGTATTTGTATCCAAATATGACCACGTTTATGTAAAATTTTCCGTCAAAGCCCTGTCGGTTTCACATTCTATTCTAAAATATCGTCAAAGAGAATAAACTAAGTAACTAAGTTAAACTAAGTTAAACCATTTACTTTGGGCTGATGATCTTATCTTGATGTTAAATAGTAAAGATGGTGCTCAAATTTTGCTCAATTGCCTTTTTGATTTTTGTAAGAGATATCATCTCATAGTTAATACAATGAAGACAAAATCAATTATTTTTAACTCAAAAGTTGATGCGATTTTCAGATTCAATGATAGTGCTATAGAAAATGTTGAGCAGTACAAATATCTTGGATGTGTATTCAGTAAAACAAAGAATTTTGACCAGCATGTATTTTACTTGAAAGAGCAAGCAAGGAAAGCTCTGTTTAAAGTTAAACAGCAATATAAAAAAATTAATGACATTCCAGTTAATGTTGCATTGCATCTTTTCGATTCCTTAGTTGAACCTATTTTAACTTATGCCTCGGAGGTGTGGATCAATGAAAAACATCTGAATACAATAGAGACAATGCACCTATCTTTTCTTAAATGTCTGTTAGGTGTCAAAAAATCAACTGCAACACCAGCAATTTATGGAGAATTGGGACGCTACCCGTTAAAAATACGTTTTGAAATCAAATTAATTAAATATTGGCTCCGTTTACTTCATCTATCACCAGGAAACATTCTTCATAAAACATATATATGACCGTGAAATGAGTCAATTTGGTTTTAAAGGCACTTGGTCAAACAAAGTCATTGATATTTTAAAAAAGTGTGATTTATTATCTTATTGGGATACTCAAAAGATTGATGATGACAATATTTTTATCAAGACAATAACAAAAACACTGTATCAGAATTATAAAACTCAATGGAACAAAGATATATTAAATTACCCTGTCTTGAGAACTTATGTTAAATTCAAAAATGTCTTTGAAAGAGAGAGTTATTTAAATATTCAAAATAAAAATTACAGGCAAGCAATTTGTAGATTTAGGCTTAGTTCCCACAAGTTACATATAGAACTTGGTCGTCATTTAAAGCCAAAGCCAAAACCTGTAGATGAACGTTTATGTAATATTTGTGGTATTTTAGAAGATGATCAACACTTCATCATGATTTGTAAGAAAAACACTACAGAAAGAAAAATTTTGTTTGACACCCTTATACAATTAAATTTTGTAGGCAGTCCTGACATTATTTTTAAAAAACTAATGTCTCACAACAATTCTTATGTAATTTTACATTTAGCAAAGTTCATCTATCATTCACTCAAAAAATTGGATTAATGTGTCAACGATGCATCACACTGATATTTAAATTTCTGTCAAGTTATATTTGTATTTTACAATTATCTTGTATTCTGTATTTTACATTTGATGATGTAATTAGATTTGACAATTGTATTTGACAACAACTTTATTTTTGTATTCAATAGTTAGTTTAGTCTTAGGTCAGTTTTGTAGATTGTAGTTTTTAGTGACTAATATGTCATTGTAATGACATCAGAGAGTCAATAAAATATATATATATATATATATATGTACATGTACATATTACGTCCGCAAAGTTTATATGCACTGAACACATCTTTTCTACATTCTTTTCACACCAACTTTACCAAAACATCGCACTGATTCATGAAACCAAGATTTACATTTTAGATTGAATGACAATGGGATGACAGACGCCATGTCGTCAAAATAATGTTTTGACACCCTTGGCATATGTTTTCTTTTTTATCTCACATACCAGGTATGGTCCTTTGACTTGTTTTTACAATTTGAGAAAATTTTCCTTTGGGTTTAGCTTTAAATACATGCTTTAACCAGTTGCAAGTTGACGTAGTGACGTTTTTCCTGTATCACAACAGGACAACCATTTAGGACATATTGGAGTACAAACATCATCTATCGAGATATGATCTGAAATGTCCCTTTAACATATTCCAAATCAAGAAGCCGGTCCTTATTCTACTCGAGTCTACGTTATCAATTGAAACATGATATTGATGTCGAGTCCAGTCCATTAAGGATGACGTATAGTTCAATCATAAAAATCATCTGCACTGGTGTAGAGACGTTTCTCTTGACACCATTATCTGCAGAGCGCTTCGCCGATGACCCCCCCCCCCCTCTCCCTCTCCAAGTTCCTATCACAAGAACCCCTTTCCATGGCAACTGGAAGTGTTTTTATTACTATTCTTTGGTTTATTCTGAGATTTTTGCTTTAGTCGCTAAAATTTCCGCTTTAGAGAAACAAATTTCTTTCGTGTCAGACTCGATCCTTTCGCTATCAAACTTGTTTCTTCTGATGTTTTGTTTTTCTTTGAAACTCAGTCTATATATTTTTAGTGATCTATCCCCGGTTTTATTTTTCGAAGAGGGGAAAATCATCTTGCTTTTGTTGCCTCTATCGTCGCATGCGTATCTCGTGCTTTATGTTTCTATAATGCTAGTTCAATTGGCGATATTTTTTAATGAGGAACGTAATTTTATGCACCGCATGTCTTGATTTTTTTTTATTCTCGAGCATTGCTTACTTTTTGTTTTTCTTTGTATGATTTGCAAAGAATTACGTTTCACGAAGGGATACTGAATATTGTACATAGATCGTAATAATGTATCGAGTAGTAGATCCGAGATCGTAATTAAAAAATAATAAGCAAATAAACATCGTTGAAAAGCTATAAGATCTTTCATATTACAAATCAGAGATGCCTGTTTATGCTGTTCACCATTGAGAATAATGTATTCATTGAAAGGGAAACTGATTCCAAACGTTAATAGGCTTTATGATTGCATTAAGCAATCCCGGGGAATGCACTGAACGAAACACTATTCACAGAGGTTGACACATTTTGGGCTGTAATGGTCTTCATAGTGATTTTCGTAGTAAATTTCTTTCGGTTAATTATGCTTATGGAAGTTCCAAGTAAGTTGACATCTACTTGCATGTAACGTATTTTTGTAAAGACGTATAAATTGGAAAAGGTACTCTGAACAAAGAGAAAACTATTTAGCTGTTATCTTTTCAATGTCTATCAATTGATTGTTATGCGTAAATTACCGTAAAACTGTATATAAATGTGTTATCAGAGTATTGGTAATCATATAAAATCAAATTAATCCATCTGTGATTTATACAAGTGACTAATTTACTGCGTTGAGTTCAATGGTATAACCATGTCGATTTTCACGCATGTCGATTGTCACAGTTTCACACCATATTCGCTTATAGTTTTGGTCGTGCTGGTTATTTCGTAAAATCTTTTTGTTAAAATAGAGTGGATATAATGTTTTCTTGAATAGTGTCCATCTTTACACAAGAATGCTGCCCATGTTTGGATTACATCTTGGTCGTTTTTCACAAGAAAAATGGTGAATTTTCAGAAATTTTTAGATAATGCTCATTATGATTCAATCACAATTATTATCACGATTTGGAATACGATGGTCTGATAAACTGAATGAAGGACTTGTTAACCACATATAACCTATTTTTCTCGGATTCCCCTAATGCCCTGTGGGTGTGTTTTAACGACCATGTCGATTTTCAAAGAATAAATTTTACATTTACTTTATTGAGTCTATATATTCGGTAATATGTGGAGATCAAATCTGGTGCTCCCATCACACTCTGAATGAATGTTCTCTATGCCAGCATAACCAAAATTAAAAGATGAGACCATTTATTATTGAGATATGACATGTTTTCAAAAGCGTGTTGTCCTGTTACATCGACAATTTCACCGAAATTCACAGTTTTGGAGCCAGATATCAACGCTGCTTACAATCGAAACGATCAAAAAGTATGCTGACGTACCTCAGATAAAAGCATTATATTTTAGAATACATAAAATGTTGAGCAAAAATACGTTTTGTTTCAACTATGTTCAATTACATGAAAAATGCCTATTTTTAACACTTATTTGTTTTCACTGTTTAGTGAAAATCATGATGTCTCGTTCATAATTAGAGGGTTTTGAACACAAAATAGGGATATTTTATGAAATAATTGGATATTTTACAAAAATCTGGATATTCAGCTGGGATATTTTACAAAAATCTTGGTATTTTACAAAAAGTCGAGACATTTTCTTAAAATCGTGTTTTTGGCGCCAAGTTCATTTATTTCAACATTTTGACAGAATACGAGCCTTTCTTCCTTATAAAACACATACTATGACGACACTGTTATATGTCTGCATAGGGGGGGGGGGGCACATACTTTCGGGACACCCTGTAAATCATATTCATTGCCTTCATTTTAACGATAAAAGTAATATATTCACAGTAAATTATGCAAACATCCACGTTGACGCCCTTTTTCCATGCCAGTTTAAAAGAATCATTGTTCATGTCATTGTTTGTCAAAAATATATCAAGGTATTGCTGGAGTATCAACGGCAAGAAGTATTTGCATCATTTTGGTCAATTTCCCTACAAGTAATACAAATACATAGGACTGTGCTCGCGATTTCAGCGGGAACTTGGTCACGACTTTTAAATCGCAGCGGGGCTTTGTATACTCCCCGAGTAAAAGCAGTTCATACACAACTAGTATCATATAAAACAAAATGTTTGTTAATCGTAAGAAAATATGTGTGATACTTCAATTACTCTTGTCCACGAGTATAATATTTATATTCATTGTGATCGTTCACGTCAAAAAGTCATTCAGTCTTGTATCAATGGATAAAGTCACTCCAGTAAAGGATGCGTTTGGATTTGTAAATGATGGACACCATTTTAACAAAAGTACTAATGCTAACACAAATAACGTCGGATCATTTAACTTGGATTTAAGGATAATCGTGATAACATATAATCGTCCCGTGTCATTGCTCCGATGTCTTAAATCTCTCAACGACGTCGATTATATCGGACACAGGGTCAAATTAGATATATTCATAGACCGATCGTCAAAATCCAAAGCAGTTAGCCAAATAACATATTCGATTGCAAAGGCGTTTTCTTTTTTGCATGGCAAGAAAACGGTGAATGTTCACAAAAAGCACGTTGGGTTGTATGGACAGTGGTTGGAAACATGGCGACCTACAGAAGACAATAAAGAGATTGCGGTTATATTGGAGGATGATATAACTGTCAGTCCATTCTTCTATGAATGGCTCCGAGCTGCGCATGCGCAATATGATGCAAGGACTGATGTAAGCGGTTATGCCCTTGCCAACGTCAATCAGCTAGCAGCAGCCCCGGGTGGTATCGTCGTTCCTCTCAATTACACAGCATACATCTATCCGATCCTTGGATCATGGGGATTCTCCCCACACAGGGACAGATGGCGGGAATTCCTTGCATGGTACGATTCGGCGTCCATTGACGCATCATTTAACCCATACGTGAAAGGCATACGTCACACGGAGTGGTATGAATCGTTTCAAAAGACTAACTATCAGAAATCAATGTGGTCAATGTGGCATATTTATTTCAGCCATATACACAAATTATATTGCGTATTCCCAAATTTGCCCGATCATTATATGTTTGCCCGGAACCATCAAGACCGAGGATTTCATTATTCAGGAAATGTTAAAGCCGATCAAGTTGATAAACTTGTTTCAAATTTGAACTGGAACCCCGATATTTTGAAAATGCCAAAGAATCCAATCAAAGTAGACTACTATGGTCACATATCAGTAGGTTAATTACCTACATTTTGCCGTTTGAGAAGCTACCCCGTCGTTTCTTTCCGCATAATCCACCATTTAGTTAAGACTTTATGTCGGAAGATTATTACAAGGCATTTTTATAATTCCTATTTAATTCCTTTAATCAGACATTAATTCATCTGCTGATATAACAGTTCGTGTTCTTATGGCTCTTGGTAGTTGGTTGAGTATCTTAGATTAAGCCATTAACACGTGGTAGGAACAAGGAACGTCTGCGCCATGAGATTACATTTCACAAAGCGATCAATTGCAAGAATTTCGCACGATTCATTTATGAATTTCGTTCGAATATTGTTCGAAAGCTGTTCAAAGCCTGTTCCTTATACGAAGTTATTGACAGCGACGTAAATGACATACACACCGAATTTTATTATCACTTCTCATCGTCATTTACACCAGGATTCAATAAAATAACGATATTTGGAGTCAGCTTACAAAAATAAATGTATATTTTATCAAATGTGTTGTTTTGTATACAAAAATCAATAAATCTTTAATATCACACATCTGTGTTTTGACACAGCCAGGCTTACGCCATAAAGTCTATCCCACTGAACGAAGACAAGAGTGTTAAGACTCAACTAACTTTAACATATACAGGGTACCACATCATAGTTCACAATAAATCATCAATAATGTATCTGTAAACTATTATACTCGTAAGTCTAGGTTTTAGCAATATCAATAAGAGATGGACAGCTTTGTATTCACTGGGAGTTACGCTGGACCAGACTTTCTTCATTTTACATAAATAGAATATATGTTATCTTAAACAAAGATATGCGCACTTTAAGCATTTCATGCAAAATGATCGAAGTCTTACGTTTGATCTACAAAGTATTTTCGATGGATTGATAAGCACTTGCTCTATCATTGTACATCTAAAACAGCTCAAACATACCACCTCATAGTTCACAATAAATCATCAAAAATATATTTGATCTGTAAATTATTATAGGTCAAGTTTATCGTCGCTTCCCACTGGGTCTAGAGACCACGTGACATAAAAAAAGTCAATTTGTTTCCCCCTTTCATATTTGGCGGTTCATGGCCCGGTGTTAAGTCAACAGACCCAACCAGAACGCTTCGCTTCGTCACGTGACAAAATATTAAAAATGTCTATACGGACTGAATAAATATCGCATCGTTGATTGGCCGATTGGTTTTGTGGCGTCTCACAAAACTCTGCGGGCAACTGCCACGAGGAGCAATATTGAGAGTGAACTCAGCTGGGGTTTATTTATATAGTGTTCCAAATAACACGCACTCACATTTTTTGTCTGAGGTCTTTCTTTATATTACCCAGGCCCTTAACCAGGCTGTGTGTAGAGGGGGGGGGGATTGGGGGCTCGTGCGATCTTGAACGATATTCTTTCTATTTGAACTTCAAGATTTGACCTTCGGTGACCTTTTCAAGGTCAAAAAGATTTTTCAACTTGCTTCAAATTGAGCAATTACAATTTATCAGAAGTTCATATCTGACTATAGATTTGAGATTCGACCTTCATTGACCTTCTCAAGGTCAAAAAGGGTCAAAGAGGTATTTTTTCAACTTGCTTCAAATTGACCAATTTTTATTTCAAAATCATCTAGAAGTTCTCAAAAGTTCAATTCTGACTATAGATTTGACCTTCAATGGCATTCTAAAGGTCAAAAAAATGTTTGACCTTCTCAAGGTCAAAAACACAGGCTGGTATCGAAAAATTTGTCCGCTGTGACGGAGTGTGTTATTTTGCATAGAAACACTAAAGAAACTTACACAATTTATTTTTTACTCATATGTTTCGCTATACCAAACAAAGTTTCTTACTCAATGCAATGAGTATATCATTTGCAGGTAACTTTAACTTTTGTTTGAAGTCCAAGAACGCTAAGGGTAAAATTTATTGAAAACGGGGCCGGGGTATCATACTCCAAAATGTATCTCCAAAAAGGAGAAATAGAAATGTAAAGGTTACGTGCATCGCTATTCCCACAAAGTTATAACATGATCATATGTGAAACTGAGAGTGAAATATATTGTTTCTTGGTTTGGCAATGACTCATTCTTTGCTGTAATTTAAATATAAACATAAAAATACGAATACAACTAACATTTGATCGTACGATTATATTTCACATAATTATAAAGGCATTTTGTATCCTCCAACACATGCTTAATAACGTTTTACAAAGACAATTGAAAGAGCTGTGAATAAATGAATGTAGTGCACTGTATGAGCGGGTCAATCATCTTTTGTGCCACACAGGTTTTTGATAGTTAAACAAGTGTACATTCTTAAAAGCATAGAAAATAATGCACTCCTCTTTGTTATAGCTGGGTATTCCCAAAAATTCCATTCTATTGTGTTGCTACCTAAGTGTGGTTTACAATATTATTTATTAGGCCCTTCCCAATGTGACCAAAGCATGCACCCTCGTCATAGTGAACGAAATAAACCATATAACTGCACTAATGCGTTCAGTAATTGTAGATTAAAACGATTACTATATATACTACACAGCCATCGTAATGAAAATCTCAATTATTGAAACCTTGACAAGATCTGAGGCGTGACTTGGGGCATTATCATCATGATAAGTAAAGCGGCTGGTGTTCTTTGTTTCTTCATGCATTACTCTCTTCTTGTAAATGGCATTGGTGAGGACTAATCTTTGTAAAATTCGTCATACGACCTTACGACACGTATCAATCGCCAGAATTTTCCCACTTTTTCCACTTTTTGGTGGTGACATAAAAACGACTATTAAATCCCACTTGTTCTTTCACAGAAGGTTAAAATGCACACTGCCTAGATTTTTGTGAGGGTTGTCAGACATCGGATTGACATCGGATTATAAAAAAATGACAAGAACACAAATGTGTACAAAATATCCCCACCTTTGGGTGATCCCGTCAAATGGTTATCCTAAAAATGAGTAGACAAGACTTTACCGGCACAATTTGTGGACGGAAAATCCAAAATGACCACCTTAAAATTTACCCAGAATGCCAAAAATTAGTCAGTTCTAGATTTTCATACTAAGAACCACCCCTGAAAATTTGAAATTGATCCGTCACACAGTTAACCAGAAAACATGTAAACAAGACTTTACAGATAAGATATGAGGACATAAAATCCAAAATGGCTGCCTTGACATTTATCCAGAATGCCAAAAAACTAATCTGTTCTAGATTTTCATACTAAGAATCATCCCTGAAAATTTGAAATTGATCTACCAAACGGTTCACCTGGAAATGCGTAGATAAGACTTAACAAACAAGATTTTAGGACAGAAAATCCAAAATGGCTGCCTCGACATTTACTCAGAATGCCCAAAAACTAATCAGATTTAGATTTTCATACTAAGAATCATTCCTGAAAATTTGAAATTAATCTACCAAACGGTTCACCTAAAAACGCATAGACAAGACTTTACGGGCAAGATTTTAAGATGGAAAATCCAAAATGGCTGCCTTGACATTCATCCAGAATGCATAAAAACTAATCAGATCTAGATTTTCATACTAAGAATCATCCCTGAAAATTTGAAATTGATGTACCAAACAGTTCACCTGGAAATGTGTAGACAAGACTTTCCAGACAAGATTTTAGGACAGAAAATCCAAAATGGCTGCCTTGACATTTACCCAGAATGCCCAACAACTAATCAGAACTAGATTTTCATACTGAGAATCATCCCTGAAAATTTCAAATTGATCTACTAAACGGTTCACTTAAAAACGCGTAGACAAGACTTTACGGGCAAGATTTTAAGACGGAAAATCCAAAATGGCTGCCTTGACATTTACCCAGAATGCCCAAAAACTATTCAGATCTAGATTTTCATAATGAGAATCATCTTTGAAAATTTGAAATTAATCTACCAAACAGTTCACCTGAAAATGCGTAGACAAGACTTTACAGACAAGATTTTAGGACGGAAAATCCAAAATGGCTGCCTTGACATTTACCCAGAATGCCCAAAAACTAATCAGATCTAGATTTTCATATTAAAAATCATCCCTGAAAATTTGAAATTGATCTACCAAACGGTTCACCTGAAAACGCGTAGACAAGACTTTACAGACAAGATTTTAGGATGGAAAAATCCAAAATGGCCGACAATAAAAAAGTGATTATGAGTTTTTGCTGATTTCTTTTTACAAAATTATTACATATAACTACTGTTAACAATAACATAGGCTTTTACAACAAAGCACACCAGAAATTATTTATAAAGCTACTAAATAGTTAAAGTATGAAAACTGAAAAACACCATTCAATATGATACAAAGTATTATCGTGCGCTAACTTTTCTTAAAACATTCAAAATGGCTGACATGACTGAGCTAACAGGTCCAAAACCTAATCAGATCTAGAATGAAGTGAGCTGAACAAGATATTAAAGTTTTAAAAGCAACTGTGAAGCCGTTTTTCTTAAAGTTTGCAGACAAGGATTTTAGCATTTGACTTCAAAATGGCCGACAGGAAGTAGGTATCGAGTTAATTTTTTTTCATCCACATCTGTATGCACTCATAAGTTATCCCTGAAAATTTGAAGGTGATATCTGTAGCGGTTTTGGAGAAAACTCCCGGACGTACGGACGGACAGACGGACGGACGGACAGACAGTCGGACGCGCCTAGGCCGACAATATGGCCCCACACTATGTTGTGTGGACATAAAAAAGGGACATATGAGGTACCTTTGTAAAGACAACCCCGCTTTTCAAATTCATTGTACCAGAGTCTGAACCAACTGATATTTGATTCCTACGGATCAAAAAGACGCTCAGAGACACATCCCATTCTCTTATACGTCGTAGCACATGACGTTTACGACGTTATACATGAACAAGCATTTTCGGCAGGAGATTTGTAAGACCGCATTTGTTTCGACGTTTTGACAGAATATGGTCCTTTCCCTTTTGTAGAAACATTGACCATATCATGCAGATAATGAATTTGAAAAGCTGGGTTGTCCTTATAAAGATATTATTAATTATATTAATAGTGTATATTAATGATAAATTTATTTGGGTTTATCTATATAAATTATGTTAAATAATAATGTACAAATACATACGCTAATTAGTACAATGTGCAATTTGAGCAATACACATTAAACCGAATGGGAAAAACATTATATTTTGTTTTACGTTAGCCTTATTTTCTTCATACTTTGGCTGGACTTTATTGCAAATATCAATGCTCGGGTCCTTGTAAAAACAGTTCATGCAAATAGTAGACATTTTGAGATCAACAGGTGTGTTTATCCTTATGAAAATATTGTGTTTCTTAAATTCTGTGTTGGTCACCGTATACATGGTCGAACTGAGGCCATCGCAATTGTATCTTTGGTATCCATTTCTTAACAAATCATGCCTAAAAAGAGAACATTTACAAAGTTTAATTGAATGTTTTCACAGTAAATGACGCAATAAAGATATTAAGCTTGTATTCATAAATGCAGCTCTCTGCTGTCGGATACCACTTAACCTATTAATTTTCATAAATCTACCCGTCTTTGAAGTTGATTTATATGGCTGGCCATCTGGACCAATGTATCGTCATACTTTTAACGCCGTAAAATCTACTTTTAACGCCGTAAAAACGATTTTATACGCCGTAAAGAATTACTTTTACGTCGTTAAAAACGATTTTTAACGCCGTTAAAATTCATTTTGAACGGCGTCAAAAATAATTTTTAACACCGTAAAAACACGTTAGTCGACGAACAGCTGTGATCGCGTGTTTTATGCCACTGTAATGATCGACTATTTAGTCCTTTGGTTGAATTAGCGAACAGATCAGGTAACTACTACATGTGTACTTGCTGCTAAAAGTACTATTTATGTGCATAAATTCATTTTTATTCTAAACGACCGACCTGACATCTTTACATAAATCTATAATGTACTTGTATTAGTGAGTTCCGTCATGCGCAGTTAGAAAATTTAAAATTTAAAATGGTCTTCAACTCTCCACGCAAAATACTTACAGCAGTGGTCAAAGAGTATTCATGAAATTCTGTCAATTTCACAAACTCAACTTCACGCCACCTTCTGAGGACACTCTGATGCTGTTTATTGCTGATTGTGCAGATCGCAAATTAAGACACGGTACGGTTGTAAATCAGCTATATGCCGTGCGTTCATATCTTTTAGAAAATGGGTTTGATGATCCTTTAAAGGACAGTTTTGTAATCAAACGAGCTTTAAAGGGGATCTCTGTTGCTCAAGACAACACTTGTAATAGAACATTGGCAATAGACCATAACATAATGAAAAGGTTGAAAGTTATGCATCGCAATCTCGATCATGATACCATAACTTACTGGTCTGCGATAACTTTAGCTTTTTTTCGCATTATTAAGATGTGCAGAAGTTACTGTAAACGATCCTTTACACTTTAACCCTTATAGAGACTTGAGCAGGAGAGATATTTTCTTTGATAATGAGTCTTGTATGAAGGTCATGCAAAAATATTCCAAAACAGATGCAATTGGTACTGGTGTTGAAATAGTCATAGGATGTACAAATCAAAAGTTTTTTGCTGTGTGTGCGATGAAAAATAATTTTAAATTGAACAATGGTAATCCCCCCGTGTTCCAATTACAAGATGGAAGTCTGTTATCTAGACAATTGTTCATTGATCACATACGCACTTATTTATCACTGATTGGAGTTAATCCAGAGAAATACAGTGGCCATAGTTTTAGGATAGATGGGTGTACACGTGGTGCTATGGCTTCAATGGCCGAATGGGAGCTACAGCTCTTAGGACGTTGGTCTAGTGACTGTTTTAAAAGGTATATAAGGATACCAGTTTCTGTGTTGGCATCTTTCTCAGAAAGACTCTTAATTAAGACCTTATACATGATGTAAGACACAAATATTCTGGGCTGTTTGGGCGGTTATTCTAGTACTCAATGTATATGTACAGTATTTGAGATTATAAGTTTTACGTTTACTTAATAAACCGTTTTAGCCCAGAATATTCTTGTCTAGTTGTATGTTTATAAGTGAAGAGTTAATGCCTGAGTGACATTTGCTCCGATTTTCACTACGGCGCCCGGCCGATTGAGTATTTTGTTTAAAATTCAATACAATAATGAACAAAACACTCAATCGGCCGGGCGCGGGCCGATATTTAACCCAGGCATAACAGCAGATTAACCGGTTATATAGGGCAGCGATTGGGTTTGACGCGATAGCTTGAAGGTACGGAGATACACGGCAGGTACTATTCATAGTCATTGCCATCAAGCCGGCAGCCGCTAGCCGGTCAGTTACAATTCAGCATAAACACAGAAGTTATTTAAGCGTGGAAAGTAAATGAGCGCTCGATACATTGCACTTTTCGTTTCGGTTTGATATGCAATAGATTAACTTCCGAAATATACTCCTCAAAAAAGTTAAGGACCAGTGATTTTCCTCATAGGTTTACATGTTAACCCCCACATTTATTTGAACGACTATTTTCTCTAAGTGTTGAACAAAAGAAAACCCGATAAAGTAAATAAATCTGTATCTTAATTCTATTCTCTATTAAGTCTGCAAAATTCAATGTTATATCTCCATTACAATAGGTCAAAATTTGATGTCAAAATTTATGAATTTCATGAAAAACAAAAATGGCAGATCCCATGTTAAACAAATGGTGGCTTAGGGGCAACATTTTGGAATATCTTTTCAGTAAAGCATATGTTAAAAATTCTTTCTGAGTAGAAAATTGAATGGTTTTACATTTTACATGCTAAATGTCTCGCTTTCATTGTTAAAATTAGCGATACAGAGCTTAAAGTAATTTTGACCACCTAACTGACCACCTGTGTTATTTCAATAAGAGGATCATTTAAAGAGGTATTGAATTTGAAACCAATAAATTTTGTAAAACCTGGAAAATCAAATCATATTTTTCTCCGGTGGACAATTTAGCAAATTTAATCTTAAAATTTAATCTTATATATGACTTCACTTAATCGATTAATACCATACCTAACATTATTCTGAGTTTCGTCTGCATGTTTATGGGTCAGCATTGAATAACGAGCCCAAGAAACATTTTTATGGTGCACAGGAATGAATCCAAATTCAAATAATCTACAAACAACATCAAATTTTAACGATTAATCAATATGGACTCTAGAATACTGTATATTGAGAAGAGTTTGCCATTTTGCCTTGCAGTTATTTTTTCCGTCTATGCTCGAGTGCGCTCCCTCTAGTGAAAATACAAACACATCTTTAAAAAACCTTGCAACGTTCTTGCTACTGTTAGGAAAATACAGTGAATGTCATTTAATGTACAAACACCTTTCACCTGTCTGGATTTTGCGATTCGACACATAATTTAAAATTCAATTTCTTACCGTGCCCTAAAGTCATCATCTTCTCCGCCCCAACCGAAGTAAATATTACTAAAGCCATTTACTTCATTGAACTGCTCTCCAAGAATAGCAACTACTCCGCCAAAAAGCAAGTCATAAGACAGTCTAAAACAAGTATCACATCACAAGATCACAGCGCAAAGAAATTTTGACTTGTTTCGTTGACTTCAAAAACCCCCGAGCTTTGGAGATGACAGAAATAATCTAAGTTTCTTGCTTACACCACAGTCACATTCCCCACGGCTGCCGTGCGGTCTATACTTTCTGCGGCCAGTTGCTTTTCTACGCTCGTCGTAGAATTTCTGCGCTCTCATACTTTTGCAGTCACATTTCCCACGGCAGCCGCACGGTGAATTTTAAATTTCTGTTGATCAACACCCCAGTCACATTTCCCACGGCCGCCGTGCGGTCTATCATTTCTGCGGTCAGTAGCTTTTCTACGCTCGCCGCAGAATTTCTGCGCACTCATACTTTTGCAGTCACATTTCCAACGGCAGCCGCACGGTGAATTTTAAATTTCTGTTGATAAATTATACTTTTTTCATTTTATTTACATCAGGACAATTTATAATGTTATTCATAGTGCTAGGATGTAATATCAAATGAAAAGTGATTCTGAAACATTGACAAATAATGATTCAATCTTGTCGAGCCAGTTGATTTCTACGGGGACCTCAGAAATGAACAAATATTATAACTCCGAGTTATAATTTCTACGGCGACCCTGCGGCCTGTAAAAAACTGGATACGCCGTACGGAGGCCGCAAGGCGAGCGTAGTTTTCCTACGCTCGCCGCAGAAATACACTGATTTAATTGATCTGCGGTCGACGCACGCCTTCCATACGACAAATGTGACTGGGGTGTTACCACCTTGGTTTTTACAAATTTTGACCGGCTAGTTTTCGAAAACCACACGTTATGATGGTTTAATCGATGTTAGCATATTCCTTTATCTTTCTTTATGTTGACGTGAAATAATAAACTATTGTATTGGTTAACACACCAGTTGTTAAAATAATATTATTCGAAGCATTTTTAGAAAATTTTGAAACCGCCATTGCATGACGTCATTTGTCTTTCGATTTGACAAATTAGCAAAGATATCTTTTCAATACACATTTAAATTATATACATTACATTTGAACACTGGTGTTTTTCCCATCTTATGCCAACCTGTATTGCAACGTATCCACGCCAACAGAGAAGTGGGTTGGATCTCGTGAACACTCATAAATCAGTCGATCATCCTCCAAGAGTAGGTCAATGTCATGTCGTATCACGCAAAGACCATCAGTCGTGTTGTCCGTCAATTTAAGCGCTTCTCTGTATCCAACATTGAATAAATACCCTCTGTTGAAATTATGGGTGTAATCCTGCAACATAAACAAACAGTGTGTGAATAGGCCAGACAAGCATAATGCTCATTTGTCGACAATGTTATTCTGAAGACTTGTGGGAGACATTAAACACAATTGAAAAACGGGTTACTGTTAATTGGTCAAAATGCATAGTTGGTATGGTAGCACGTTGTTTTATTTTGAACTCTTCCCATCTTATCTGCTCGTCAAATGCTCGATGTGCTAATATTAATACTAATAAGTATAAGCACTTCCTGGCACTTCAAACATTGAACCCTGCAGCAATATATTATTACCTAAATAAGGGTTGTGTACTGGGATGTTCTGGATATGGGGTTTATCCAGAGGGAGATATGCATATCTACCCGAGGGACCATATGGATCGAAGGTAGAGCTACATCTCTAACGAGGGATAAACCTCTATCCAAACCGACCATACATAATTGCTTTATCTTACGAGTACATCCTGTGTCATAAGGAAAGTAAACATAACATATTTCAAACTCCGATCTGGCCAGTACAAACAATGACCAATAGCCTCTCAAGTAAGAAATTGAAATGTCAGTGCAAATGATACAATTGCAGCGTATTTGAGCGTTTGAAGACGGTAAACTTGAAACTTTGGGAAGTGTTGCTTAATTTTTACAATTGTGAGGTATAATATACAGTCCCCTCCATAAGTTTGGCAACCTTTTTCCCCCATTGAACTACGTGTTAAAGCCCCCTTACCTTTGAATTTTTATTTACTTAACCTGCGATGAAAATACTTATACTATTGATGGAAACGTAATTTGACTTACAATCCAATACCTCCAAATTTTCTCAATTTTTTCCCTCAATTACAGTAGGTCGAAAATTGATGATGAACTTGGTGAATTTTTGAAAATCGACATTCCTATGTTAACCAATGGGAAATGGTCGGTTTGCCGCAAGTCATATGACAGAATATCCATCCATCCGAGTCCTTGCAAAAAATACGAGTTAGGCAGGTAATTGAATTTGCTAACTTTATTTAACAAAAAATTGATATGTTTCTTCAGGTTCAACAAAGTTATAGAGCTTTAAAGTCAAAATTGTTTTTCAAAAAACCTCTCCCATTGAAATAACACAGGAGGCAAAAAATTCTTTTCAAAAATGACTTTGAAGCGCTGTAACTTTAATATTCATCAAATAAACTAAACACGAAGTGTTCAAAAACGTTAGACAATTCAATTTTCTATATAAAAATATTTTTTTGCTGGATCTTTTACTGGAAAGATATCCTGATTTCTGATTTGCCCCGAACCCTCAATTTCCCATTGGATTACATGGGAATGACGATTTTCAAAAATTCATCAAATTTATCATCAATTTTCGACCTATTGTAATTGAGGAAAAAATTGAGAAAATTTGGAGGTATTGGAAATGAAGTCAAGTTACGTTTCCATCAATATTGAACAAACATTTCACTCTATTGAGGTGAATACCTGTACATCTTTCACAAGTGATATTCCACGAAGCCCGAAGGGCAAGTGGAATATCAACTTGTGAAAGTGCTACAGGTATTCACCTCAATAGAGTGAAATATTTGTTTTATTATATCACTGTCTAGCTCAACATCCCTAATATTATTAATTCATTAAGTCTTCAGATATTTTTACGAATCTACTCGGTTCGTCTGCCATTTTGACTTACACTGAACTAAATTATTTACACTGAACGAAAACAAATTCTTTGAAAATTCCCGGGAGTGTGGGATATCGCTAGATATCTCACGGTTGTCTTATCTAATTAGCATTGCCATTGAATATCGCCAGATATCCCACGACATGTGACCCGGTTTTCACGTACCATCATGTGCTGTACAAGCATGGGCTATTTAATAGTCATGCTTTATCAAGAGCACAACGGGGAAATCCATTGAAAATCTCACAGACGTCAGATAATTTTCGGAGGAAACACTCTAAAAGATGAGTGACAAGGGAGTCGATAATGTGGTTGCTATTGGTACAACATGATAATTGCATTCATTGATGATTGTGGCCATTATATATACAATGATTGTGCAATTAATCATTCTGAAAAATGCAGTAATTTTTCATTATAAATCAACCGAGTTTTTAAGCCCAGGAAGTAACGTGAATGATAAAACACGATTATATATAGTTTTGTCATAAAACTGACACTTTTATCGAGATAGTAAATCTAACGACTGAACAATCAACATTTAACAAAAAAACAAAAACAATATAACATTATGCGCTTACTGACTAATCTAAAAGTGTTTTATCTTAGATAGAATGAATGAATGACTACATAACAGGCTTTTGGCAAATCATGGACTTTTATTTGTAAAAAATAATCACCACTTATATTACATTACTTATTAATAGAAATAATAACGTCGCTTCCATTTTGTCATTTTATGGAATTGGCCCCGTTCAATTGAAGAAGGTGCATTGATAGCCGGACCTTGGTGATAGAGTCTTGTCTGAATTGAAAGTTAAAATATATACAGGTTCTTGAATGAGTACCTTCGCTTTGATAATAGGGATTTTCAGCTTGCATATCAAATCGAAACGTCAACCTATACGCATGACCAATCGTTCATACAAATGCATCGCTTAAATATTTTCCGTTCAGGTTCAGGTTGTGAAAAACATTGCAAGTTTAAACTCCCTAGTGTTTCCTTATCGCGTCTTCGACTTGATTAACACCCCAGTCACATTTCCTACGGCGACCTTGCGGTCTATCACTTCTGCGGCCAGTAACATTTCTACGCTCGCCGTGGCATTTCTGCGCTCTCATACTTTGCAGTCACATTTCCCACGGCAGCGGCACAGTGAATTTTAAATTTTTGTTGATAAATAATACTTTTTTTTGTTTTATTTACATCGGGACAATTTATAAATGTTATTCATAGTGCTAGGATGTAATATCAAATAAAAAGTGATCGTGAAACATTGACAAATAATGATTCAATCTTGTTGAGCCAGTTGATTTCTACGGGGACCTCAGAAATGAACAAATATTACACCCCGGTCACATTGCGGTCTATCATTTCTGCGGCCAGTAGCTTTTCTACGCTCGCCGCAGAATTTCTGCGCTCTCATACTTTTGCAGTCACATTTCCCACGGCAGCCGCACGGTGAGTTTTAAATTTCTATTGATAATTAATAGTTTTTTTTCATTTTATTTACATCAGGACAATTTATAAAATGTTATTCAACGTGCTAGGATGTAATATCAAATGAAAAGTGATCGTGAAACATTGACAAATAATGATTCAATCTTGTTGAGCCAGTTGATTTCTACGGGGACCTCAGAAATGAACAAATATTATAACTCCGAGTTATAATTTCTACGCCTTCCCTGCGGCCTGTAAAAATCTGCATACGCCGTACGGAGGCCGCAAGGCGAGCGTAGTTTTTCTACGCTCGCCACATTAATTCATATTCGACTTGCGGCCGCCGTGCGACAACTGTGACTGGGGTGTTACACCCCAGTCACATTTCCTACGGCGACCTTGCGGTCTATCATTTCTGCGGCCAGTAACATTTCTATGCTCGCCGTGGAATTTCTGCGCTCTCATACTTTTGCAGTCACATTTCCCACGGCAGCCGCACGGTGAATTTTATATTTTTGTTGATAAATAATACTTTTTACATTTTATTTACATCGGGACAATTTATAAATGTTATTCATAGTGCTGGGATGTAATATCAAATGAAAAGTGATCGTGAAACATTGACAAATAATGATTCAATCTTGTTGAGCCAGTTGATTTCTACGGGGACCTCAGAAATGAACAAATATTATAACTCCGAGTTATAATTTCTACGGCGACCCTGCGGCCTGTAAAAAAACTGGATACGCCGTACGGAGGCCGCAGTGCGAGCGTAGGTTTCCTACGCTCGCCGCAGAAATTCACCGAATTAGTTGTTCTGCGGTCGACTTGCGGCCGCCAGGCGACAAATGTGACTGGGGTGTTAGAAAACTTACACCCCAGTCAAATTTCCTACGGCGACCTTGCGGTCTATCATTTCTGCGGCCAGTAGCTTTTCTACGCTCGCCGCAGAATTTCTGCGCTCTCATACTTTTGCAGTCACATTTCCCACGGCAGTGAAAGTACAGCTTATGTTTATATGTATAGCTATGCGCATTTTAAGTGAATGGAATTTGACGTTTCCCCAAAAGATGTACTCATCGATCAATTCTTATTTTCTTTTCACCAAGATTGATTTTTTATCTCCTCTAAATTGCTTTTAATTAGGTGAATTGAATAGTAATATACTTTTTGCAAAATATTCCCATAATTCCCTACAAAATACATTTGTAGTATCGTCTAAACGAGAAACAACGTTTTTTATAAGCGATGGTTCCTAACCCTACTATCACACCAAACTCGTTCTCACTACGGTCTCGAAAACGGGCTTCAACTGTGTACGAACGGACTGGACGTACTTAGAACCGTTTGGGGTCCATTTACAAACTTCATCAAACGTACCCGAACGGGTAGGTCCTCTAGAACTTAGAACATGCTCAAAATGTTCTCTTGGTCGTCACATTCTACAATAAGAACGAGTGAGAACCTACTAACGACGAGATGGACGCACTACGAGCGGAATCGTCGTACTTCAATCCTACTAGGGGCGTTTTTACAACGAGTTGAACTGTCTGAGGACGTATTGAGAACGAGGTAGAACTAATTGCAAAAGGGTTAAAACTGATTAAGAACGTATTTATAAACGAGTTAGCAAAAATATACCTATCACTCCAAGCAAGTTGCCACTGCGTTCTTCAAAACTGGTTTTAAACTGTGTGCGAACGGAATGAACGTAGCTACAACGTTCTACGGTCTGTTTACGAACTTCATGGACTTTTCCTGACGGAAAAATGTGATTTAGAATTTTAAATCGATTCAAAGTTCGATGGCGACCATACCGTTCTGTTCTGTAATAGACTAAAGGACGCGTTATGCGAATGAGATGGACGTATTGAAGACTGTTTATGAACGAGATAGCTAATTATTTTAGACATATTTTTAGACCACAGCCAGATTGAGCCCGTTTTACGACGTTTTCGTAGGACTGGCAAGAACGGGTAAGAACTAGTTTGGTGTGATAGGGGGGTTATGAATACAATTAGATAGAGTTGCGCGAAACTGATAATCGTAGTACACACGATTTTTACGTTATCGCATAAGGGATTTATAAGCACACTAATAAGTGCGTTGCGAAATCTCTTATATTTTTAAGATTAACATATTATTGTAAACCTTAGGCAAAGAAAATTTTAATATTAATCTCGCGCAATTTATTTTCTAACTTAAAAGCTGCTTCACCTCCGGTAAAATAAACCAACTGTCTTAATACTGATGAAACACATTTTCTTTCAAATCTATGCGCCTTCGATTTGTTTTATTTCAAACAAAAATTCCTGTCTGGAGCTGATAAGTCCCCAAGAGCAATTATAAAGTAATTTTGAAATGAGTTATTATATAAAGCATACATGTATGTATCATTTATAAACGCAAGCATTTGATCGAATGGGTGTAGTATTTATTATTCATCACTTCGATTTCATATATTTTTGAGAATAAAATTGTCCAAAAATGTAAAAATGCTATTTTCTGAAATTGAGATTTCTGTCTTTGCCATTATTTGAGGCATTTCTGGATTAGTCTTGCACACGTTTCAAATCGTGTGTCCAAAAACGGATTTGACAGCATTCTTTAATAAAATAAAAAAGCTCTTTTCTCAAAACAAAGTCTATAATGATTCACAAATTTTATTTTCTGAAAATCCCTATAGTTTCAGGAAAACTAAGAATTTTACAATAATGTATTATTTTCTATAAGAATGGTTACCATTCTTATTACTTGGGAGAATTAAAAAAAAATTCACCAATTTTTGCACTTTGGATCCATTATAACTTCACTAATTTAAAAGATATCGTGAATCATTTGGGAGATATTGTATTTTAGGAATAGATTGGTAGGTGAATTGTTCATGTTACTTCGAAATTTGTCACCCCCATAGATCTGATGCTGCCTTTAAGTACAGATTAATTTTTATTTTCAATTCAAAGAAAGAACAAATAGATATTTTGAGCACTATGTAGTCTTTGTTGCAAGGCATTGCAATTTAAAAAGGTTTACTTTTAGAGTCTACGGAGCGAAATGGATATCTTGAGTACCAACTGAGAGTATTCGTGTAGTAAAAAAGACGTTTTATGTGCGCCATGATTAAATAAATATTACTCTTAGAAAAATATTTGCTATTAAACATCCACTATTCAGTAACTAACTATAGGTGCATGAGGTACCATGAAATACCAAATAAATTCTTTTGATTTGGAATTCTTATCAAATCATCATCTTACCTCAGTTTTGAAGTGTGGGAATCGCATGTTTCAGAAATTGACATATTAAACTTATTTTTATTTATTTTTATTTATATAGTATTTAAATCTGTGGCTCGTTCAACCTAACATTATGTGCCATTTTTACAGAAGTATATGAATTGACGTACATAGGTTTTATATAGTTGAAAGCATACAACCAAGTGAGGCTCGCACGACTAGTAGCATGTTTGTGGTGCTCCAAGGGTGTAATGGCTTAGCGGCGGGCTTAGCGGTTACAAAATGCTGTGTCTAAATTTTCAGCAAATGATTCAATATTGAACTCTGAAGTCTCAATGAATTAGGAATGCGGATTTCTTCCTCAAATATCTCGTTTTAAAAAATACGTTCCTTAAAGATATGTTGGGATTTGCCCTTAAATGTATGTTAACTCTTAATTTGAATTTCATTTTACAAATGTTATATTAAAATGTATGATTTTGCTTTCAGATTTCAGGATATCTATTCAGTATAATATTCACCGAAAACTATTTTAATATTGAAAATCAAATTGTCTAACTTTTTCAAATTCAATTGTATTTTGCGAAAACAAAATGCACGTATCGGAAATGATGTCAATTTATTTTTTCCAGCCCTAATTTTAGATTACCTTTTTTAATTACCAATACAAGAGAGCCCCTTGTGAATCTTGGTTCAAAAGCTCACCTATTTTCGAAATGGCCGCCTTGTTGTCGAGGAAAAAAATTTGAAGTGTAAAATTACGAGATATAGACTAAGAACAGCTAAACAGAATGGAAGCCCATAAAAGAAGGGGACCTCAAAAGCTTCTTTTCTTAAAAATTTGGACACCAAAATGCCTAGGCCAAAATCTAGGTCAAATCCAATGTTTTCCTTATATTTGCGATTCCAACACTACACTTTAATTATATTCTTCGAAATTGTGTATACATATAGTTAAGAGCTGTGCTAATAGTGTTAGCCTTTTGCCGTCAGAAAGTATTTTGACCCACTTTTGAGATATAGTGTCGGAAAAGTAGGTCAAAATAATACGTTCTCCAAATTTAACGTGTACTATGAGTTATAAATGAATGAGAGAATTTTCTCAGAAATCCGAATCTGCAACCAAATTTCGATCCGTCTTCAGGTTCGGAAGTTATGGCGTTTTGAAAGCTCAAAACTTGCTAAATTTGGTGCCCCATGTTAAGTCAATTGGAAAAAATATTTTTTGAAGTGTCAAATACGAGATATAGACTGAGTACAGCTTAATATAATGAAAGCCTTTAAAAGAAAGGGACCTAAAAAGTCACCTATCACAAATCCCGGGACCACAGTGATATAGAAAATGAGTGATCAGTAGAAATAATACCAATACCTGTTCCACGACAATAATTGTATAATCCAACAGTTGTCTCTGCAATATTGGAGTATAATGCTCTATGAACATTTTAAGGTGCTCGTCTCTATCTCTAAATGGAATGATTATAATTGTTCTTTGTTTAGGTTGGCATGATACTGGAAACCAGCGACCCCTTCTATCAGTACTATATGAAGGGGTGTGGCTATAGCTTGATTGTAATGTGTCGCATGGCTGGCTGAAAGTTTGGGAATTCCAACTGCAAATAAGAAAGCTACTTTTTTACATAATGTTAAATGGCGGTTCTAACACATATATTGTGGACGCATTATAATTTATGAACAGTAAAAAATCATTAAAAATAATGAAAAAGAAACGTTTATATTCTTACACGAATGGAACATTATATATGGATTACAAATATACATAACCATATATGAGTATTGTATCGTTGACACACTGATAGTCCACGGTCAACTTCCTCATGAGTTGATAACGTTTTCTATAGCATCAAGTAGTATTAGACGTGAGTATATAATATTCTAAGTTGCAAATGAGATGATGGTATATTTCTTAAAATGGTTAAAATTACTGCCAACATTCACGTTATAATAGGTTTTAGAAAAAAGCCCTTGGTGACATTAAAATTACCTTTAACGTTGTCATGTAATCCCTAAGGGATACACAGCATCCAAATTGAAACATCCAAGAAATCACGGTAGCTTAAAGGGACAATACCGGAAATCGGGAATAATTCCTTAGAAAAACTTCAAAATAAATCGTTGGTGCCTCAAACCTGCCCCTAAGAATGGCTACGACGTGAACTTACTTTTGTCAAAATACCGGAGCCTGAAAAAAATCACTCACCTAGATATCAACGAAAGAAGTGTCAGTTTCGTTCGACTGCGAGAGCAAAATTGAAGCTGAGCTAAACGGTTTTCGTTTGTCGTAAAATTGACCTCATTTAACTGCGCCATCTGGCGAATGAATCATTGTTTCGTGTCATATGATTCGTTGTTTTGTGTCACGTGATCTACCTTTAGACCTTTTGCCACCTATCGTAAGTTAATCGAATTAAAATGAAATTTTTCGATCCAAGAAGAAAATTTGCACAAAAATTATAAACCCCGCTTGACATAACCTTTGTCACTCTATCGTCTTCTTGATGAGGCACATCGGAACTTGGGATTAATAGCCATTCAACCAAGCCACAAAAAGTATGTATATTAGTTGTTCAACATGTTCAATTGTGTTAATATTTCCCGGAACTCGGCCTTTAATTATTGTATTGGAAATCATGGTCGGTTTCTCCTCTAATTGGAAAAAAATCAATGGACAGAGAAATCTGATTCGGAATACCCGTTCCAATTAAAATGTAATCCTAGTACGAATATTGGCCCTATGATCATTTATATACACACATGAAGAAGGTAGTTTTACCAAAATATTGAAAGCCACTTCCAGAACACTAATTTTGTAATTACGAGGAAATGGCATGTACACATTCATTGAAAAAATGACATATTTTTGGATTGAAAAATTATGATTTATTTCTTTATTTTACCCATTGGTAATGAAAGGATTAATTTTTAGATTATTAGCAAACCTCCGAAAGAGGCCAGTTTTTTACACTCTTATCCTTCTAATAGTGTACGGGAACATAAGGACAAACTATATACAGTCGTATTATTTTGAACCTACTTTACCCTACCATATTTTTCATTCTAGTTTTTAATGTTGGAAAAATGAAATCTACGTCTATTGAATAAACTCACCGATTAGAACTGTTTCATCTTAATTCATCTAATTATTTTACGTTATGTACATGTCAAGCTTTTTGTCACACAAGACTTGAAGAGTTAACGATGACTCGAAAGATACATTTAGAATGAAAACTGCAGTCACTAGTTCTTGAATTTACTGCTGTATATATTTTCAGCATTGCTGATGCTTTTAAAGATGAATCTTACTGTCTATGTTATATTGCAAAACAACATCAAGACAATGTCTAATTACATGTTTTGATGCTTTTTGGAATATTTCAATCTTCTATTATCAGCATGTAAATTAACGAACTTACCAAAGTTGTGTCGAATATGTGAGCAGTTATGACCATGTATTTCTTCACTATATATGTTTGCTCGAACGTGTTCCTGTTTCAGACGAATTAATTTGTTCCTTTGAAAGCGATCAACAAGTTGATATACAAATACTACATTTGCAAATAACAATGTGCAAATAAAGGTTTTCCATCGAAATGCCCGTATAATCAATTTCCAAATGTTTGTTAACATTGTTTGTATGCATACGTATTTTCATTTCATTCAACTTTAAAAGTTTCTATCTTTGTACTTTGTATCAAATAGTTGACACCATGTGGTTTAATTTTCCCTTGTCATACTTCGTCAAATGCTGTTCGCGTTCTGAATTCTTATGAATGTATTTACAGCATATTCAACAACCAAACTTATTCTTGAATTCTATTGTACTCTTTTTATACGATATTTGAGCTCACTCAAATTCGCATCGCATTTGAGAATCAGATTTTGATGCCCATTTATATGTACAATCTCCTCCATACGTTTGGCAACCTTAGCTCCCCCATTGAACTACATGTCCTCTTTACCTTTGAATTTTTATTTACTTAACCTGGGATGAAAATACTTAAACTATTTACGGAAACGTAATTTGACTTTATTTCCAATACCTCAAAATTTTCTAATTTTTTCCCTCAATTACAATAAGTCGAAAATTGATGATAAATTTGATGAATTTTTAAAAATCGACATTCCCATGTTAACCAATGGGAAATGGTAGGTTTGCCGCAAGTCATATGACAGAATATCCATCCATCCATCCGAGTCCTTGCAAAAATACGAGTTAGGCAGGCAATTGAATTTGCTAACTTTATTTAACAAAAAAGTATATGCTTCTTCAGGTTCAACAAAGTTATAGGGCTTTAACATCAAAATTGTTTTTCAAAAAACCTCTCCCATTGAAATAAAACAGGAGGCGAAAAAGTATTTTCAAAAATGACTGTAACTTTAGTATTCATCAAATAAACTAAACCCTCAGTGTACAAAAAGGTAGACGATTCAATTTTCTATATAAAAATATTTTTTGCTGAATCTTTTACTGAAAAGATATCCTGATTTTGATTTGCCCCGAACCCTCCATTTCCCATTGGATTACATGGCAATGACGATTTCCCAAAATTCACCAAATTTATCATCAATTTTCGACCTATTGTAATTGAGGAAAAAATTGAGAAAAGTTGGAGGTATTGGAAATAAAGTCCCATTAATATTATAAGTTATTCCATCGCTGGTTAAATAAATAAAAATTCAAACGTAAATAAAATACGCTTTAACACGTAGTTCAATGGGGGAGTAAAGGTTGCCAAACTTATGAAGGGGAGTGTATGTATAATGGAGGGGTTTCCTGGGTTCGTGCTAGATACGTGCATGATAAATGTTTTGACATTTATGTTTTCATTCATTATTAGCAACAATTTGGCATGAACAAGCATTTAAGTCCCAAGTTGTTATTAGTTTTGATAAATTAAGGGAAAGTAATAGTTTTGTTTAATTAACCAACAGCATACACGGTATGTTCATTAATTTGTTTTCTTTTAAAATCAAACATATCAGGCATATTTTAAATTTTTTAAAACAGGCCGCGATTGTTGTGACGGTGCGGCGCAGGGGATGGGTGGGGGCGTGACGCCTATCTTTGGTTCTCGACGTTTTGCCGAGGGGCCCCCTTGATGCTCTCGCCATGTCCGACAGTTGTCGCTTATTCAGTTACTTATTGGGTCACTTCTTCGAATTCATTTGTACAATGTCATGTTTTTATTTCTTGTTTTACTTCTTCACTTTATATTTTCATGTGTATACTTGGACTTCTCTTTCTAGACTGCCTGTTTTTTTCTAAATTATAATTGGCTTCTCTAATTGCACTTTTTAGTTTCAACTTTAAACTTTTAGTTCCATACATTAAAGATAGATATTGTTTAATTGAACTCAATTCATAGATGTCGCACACACCTTAACCGTATTCCATAATCAAAATCACGGTTATGGACGCGATCATTTTTGTCTAAATTCATAGATGTCGCACAAACCTTAAACCGTTTCAACCGTCCAGTCGTATTCACGGGGACTGTACCAAATTAAGCGTGGCAGTTAACGTGCGGGAATTGTACAAGAGAAGGGTGATGGAATTGAGCAAACTATTGTTTTCATCTTTTCAGAAAGATCGTGTCTAGTTTTTAGATATCTTTATATGTAAATGTATGAAACAATATTCTAGACAGTGACCTTGACAGTGGATTCATAAATCTACACAAACTCCAGAAATACACAACACCCGCAACACTAGAAGTTGAGTGCTCTGTTCCTAGTTTATATCACTATAACTATATCTAGTTTTATCTCACCAATATTATAAGTCACCATTAAAAAATATTACATAGAAATTAACATTCTTGTCGAGTACATTATCAGGATAAGTTAATATATATTGTCATGCGTGTATTGGTTACCTCCATGTTGATTGTTATGTTATTTAAGAGGTGAAAACACATTTGCAGCGAAGCACTGGAGTTTTCTGTAACTAATGACATTATGATTATAATAGTACCATATGGTTCCTGAAGAATGGCGATATTAGCGATCAGTATAAAACTTTGATAAAAAAAAGTGAAATATCCGAATCTAGCGTCCACGGAGCTTATATATAAGGCGAAAGAGTCAATATGCCAATTGTTTAAATCAGTGTTGAAAATTACTAAATGTATTGTTTTGGATTAGTTTTGGAAGAGTAGGGGTGGGGTGGTCGAACACGTCCTGGGACGTCGTCAATTAACCGGGCATGGATATAATTAGATAAACATACAACAATACAATAGCATCAAATGATTTATAAATTCGAGACATGGATTTCATAAAATGTATTTAGAGTTACAAAATATGTACTGTATGTGAGTATGATTATGTGATAGTTGCTCTTGTTTCGACACGCAGTGATAGTGCTATAACAGATGATTTTCCATGAGATAAGATAAAATATTTGAAAGCAAAATTCCTGATATAAGACAGTATACGATCGCGGGTTACAACCAGAAAAAAGAAGTGAAAGTTGGTGTAATATTCAGATTAATGCCTGTTAACACACATGATCATAAAATAAAGAAAACTAGGAAATGATATTCATGGAAAGCGTCGACTCTACAAGATGCTGTCATGAAATATGATGCAATATTTTACGAGGCCCCTTAGGACCTATAAAAAACGAATTATTCTTAATGGACATTTTCGTACCGGGTCAGGATGCCGATATGACAGCATTATTGCACGAAGGTGTGTTTGCATATTTCAATAGGTCGATACGACACACTTGATAGGAAATCACTGCTTGACAGGGGGTATTATAAATAATATGTACGTGATGGTCTTGCTAAAAATCACATATTACGCCCCCTGGTGAAATGTTCTTAATCCCCAGAATGCATCGCTTCAATAGGAACCTCCCTTCGGAACCATAGATTTCACCAATCAGCACTCTCGATGATGATTACCACATCGGGGATAAAGATTTAGCCCTAACACTGAATTATTGAGTACTTCGCCGAAGTTACTGGGCGAAAATCCATTTTCATCAAGTTCCAGAATCGTTTGGAGATCTCGCCAATCAAGCTACGACAGTAGTCATATTTGCACCAAACAACTGTATTTGTAACGAAATAATGTTTTATATTAACAAGGAGGAGTAAGACAACACCAAAATGTATGTTAAGAAAATAAGAATAATTCAAGCAGGAACGCTTTTCAGTTTGTTATTAATGACATATACTTATTACAGGTATGTAGTGAAAAACAGTTGTGAATGATGTAAATGCTATTTATGGTTGAAATGTTTAATTTGTCTATGTAGTTTGTAATGTTAAAAATTGCTTCATAATATGAAGCTTTGGCGATTTCTTAACTCAATAAGGGAGATTATGGGTTGGGCAGTATCACTGTGGAAATTAGCTTATATAAGTTGTACTACAGCAAATTGTTTTTTGGATTATCCCAAAAATCACCTAAATGTGGATGGAAATTATATTTCCGATATTATACGGAACACTTTGGAAATAAGTTCCGACAAATGAATCGGTACAGCCGAGCTGGTACATGTATCACCTGAAAATAAGTTATAACAAACTTATTTTATCTTTTATTGAAATTACATAAAACTTTCGAATTATAAGGATCAACATCTTCACAACTTTGTGCATTTGTGCCACCCAAAAATGATTTGTGTCTCTTCCCTTGATCTGCTCAGTTGCTAATTATAGCGGAACATAATACATTCGTGTTGGTGAAATTAATTAATTTAATATAAAATAATAATATCATTAGCAAGTTGGGGAGTCATATCTGAAAGGAAGTAGAGGGGAATGGGTGGCAACAATTTAGTACAATTCAATGTCCAGTAATTTGAATATATAGTAATAATGTGTACAGTACAGTTCAAATAATAATAGATTAATAGTACATTTCAAATAATAATATCAAATAATGATAATGAAAACAGTAATACTTCAGTGAGTTGAATATAACTTGAAATAACTGTTGCTCGCTATGTACTGGCTTAGAATGCAACTGACTCCAATCTGCGCTACCTAGGTCTGGGACCGCAGACAACCACATGATTCAGGATCCACCTATTTAATATTCATTATTCATATAAGGCAAACGATACAGTCAATATGGTACAACGAAAATGGGACTTCTGCGCATGTTAAAATTTTTCGTCAAAACTCAACTTTTGTTCAAGTTGATACGATTGTCTTTCGAACTAGAAACTTACCTCATTCGAAAGATCATAAAAGACTTTATCTATACTGAAAATCTTAGATCCAAACATAGTAGAATACGCCGTTTTGAGCTTGATTGTACGGGTGCTGATGATGTAGTTTGTGGCGTCGACTTTGCCTTTCTTTTGCCTGGGCCTCTTGTTGTAGCTAGGCATATTTATTATTCACTCAGTTCCCTGAAAAATATCAGTCAAAAGTAGCTATCCGGACATATCAAATTAAAATAAATGCAATAAATCCCATGACATACAACAGTTTGTCCGCAACACCAATAGCTATGAAGAAAGTTTCTGCACTTTAACTAAATTCTCCACTGTAATTGATTAATTATAATTAAATTATGTATTACCGATGCGGTAGACAGGACTACTACCATTTGCATTAGGTAAACATTTGGTGGTCCCGACAACAATATAAATAATTAAATTATGTATAACCAGTGCGATAATCGGGACTATTACCATTTGCACATTATCGGTAAAAACATTTGTTGGTCCCGACAACAAGATTAATTAAATTATATATTACCGGTGCGATAATTGGGACTATTACCATTTGCACATTATCGGTAATATTTGTTGGTCCTGACAACAAGAATAATTTGAAGTATTTACCGGTTCGATAGTCAGGACTACTATCATTTGCACCTTAGGTAAACATTAAACACGGCCGTCGAGCTGATACTATTTTAAATTCATTACTAATCAAGTATTACCCAACGGCCCTTGTTGGTACTGACAACAAGCATAATGAATCAGTTACGCTATGTGGAGAAAACACAGATACATATTTAATTATGGAAATAAATATGATAATTACGCCAAATACGTAATAATAAATTATCATATTAAATAGGAAAAAACAAGCATGGCAATCACTCACTTTCAACTTATCCTTTGCGAAGATAAGTTAACACTTCAGATTTGGCGAACTTTTGTCCCCACTATCAGATTTAAATCATACATTTTCCCATATTATTTCTCACATTGTTGTCAATTCCAGTTTGGTTAGGAAAGACAAGAATTTTAAATGATATAACCGACATTGATAAAGATGAACGAAAATAATTCTATTGTAATATGCTTTTGATTGAGGCCCCCAGGCAAACTACCCGCCTCTAATTTCATGAAACAATTATATGTTAAATCACTTCTGTTCAAATTTAGATTTGGTCGGTGTTTCTATTGAAATTCTTTCGAGCCAACTACAGAAAGGCCGAAAATTACTACCTTTGTTGCCATACCTGGTTTGTCCAGAGCATACTATAATGTACGATACGGAGATTACTTACCGAATGATTGTTAGAAATTAACTCCAAATCCTCATGAATAATTCCTTTCCAAATCTTTTCCAACAATTAACAATTTAGTACAATTCAATGTCCAGTAATTTGAATAATAATGTGTACAGTACAGTTCAAATAATAATAGATTAATAATGTGTACAGTACATTTCAAATAATAATATCAAATAATGACACTGAAAACAGTAATACTTCAGTGAGTTGAATATAACTTGAAATAACTGTTGCTCGCTATGTACTGGCTCAGAATACAACTGACCCCAATCGCCGCTACTTAGGTCTGGGACCGCAGACAACCACCTGATTCAGGATCCACCTATTTAATAGTCATTATTCATATAAGGCAAACGATACGGTCGTCCCACAAAACACTTTATGATGCATAAAAATATTTATGCACTTCTCTTGATCGTTTTTAATACTCAGAACTGCATTTAAAATACGAAAATCACATTTTACATCACTGTATATATAAGTTGTATCTCCATTTCATTATGGGCAATAAAGATTAACATTAAAATACAATTACAACAGTCAATACTTTAACCCTAATGTGAACAACATATTTTCATAACACTAGTTACATACTTCAAATAATTCTGTAATATTTCGATGCATATACATGCTCAAGTTTGTAAATAACATGCATATTAAGATTGAAAAATGTCTAAAAAGCCGCAAAATGGAAAAATCTTCAGGTAGGGGAGACAAATAAAATTATTTCTACAAAACGTATAAAGGTATGGTTATTTTCTTTTGCAGACATCTGCCAGACATGTTCAGAACCTCCAATTAAAAGGCCATGGATATATTACCAGTACCAAAAATCATTTTTTTACTCAAATTATTTGGATCAAAACGCGAGTCGCGGACCACAATATAATATTGATAACCTTGTAACTCAGTGAATAAAAGTCTGATTATTGTTATTTGGCTTTTTTGAAAGTGTATTCACTACACAATCAGTGGAGCGACGATACGGCAAGTTTCTTCTTTTTTCCTCCTTTATATACTGGAATTATGACACCCCGTATCGTGCGTCAATTTTATTAAGGGTATTTATTTTTTATTATCGCCCAAATACAACAGCCCTGGAAGGTCTATTAACACAACTCAAGCAAATATTAATAAAGTGTATAGATAATGAAACTGTTCATGATTCTCCACAATTTCAAAATGTACTGTGAAGTCAGGGAATCCTGTTATAAGTTACCTAAGGCCAAATCACCAGGTTATGATGGCATACCATATGAACAATTTTGGTATGCTGGTGATCACACTTTTAAAACTATAGCATTTCTATTTAATATGTTGATTAAGGAAGAATATTTACCCAAGAACTTTAAACGGGGTGTCATAATTCCAGTATATAATGGAGGAAAAAAGAAGAAATTTGATAAGGATAGTTACAGACGTATAACACTTCAATCATCACTGTGTAAACTATATGATGAGATTTTACTTCAGAGGGAATTGAAGTATGGTCATAGTTATCAGGCAATATCAGAGTTACAGGGTGCTAATAAGATTAAATATAGTTCTCTTCACTCATCCCTTCTTCTCCGAGAGGCTATAGCTCATAATGTTGAAAATAGAAGTAAGATTGTTGCTGCATTTTTAGACACAAAGAAAGCATATGTCACAGTGTGGATTGATGAACTATTTGCTCAAATATATGACGCTGGTATTAAAGGGAAATTATTGAGAAATTTGCATCAATCTTATATAAACTCTATGGACTCTACAGCAAAAATGTAATATGATGATTAAGTTACTATGTGGTATATATAATTTAGAAATTAACAAAAATGCTTTACCTAGAGAAAATAGGGAGTGTAAGAAATGTAATAATAACTCATTAGAGAATCTTTACCATTTTATTATGGGTTGTGATAATTATGTTGATATCAGAAAGGTAATGATTGGAAATTTGATTTCAATGATCCAAATTTCATTTTTATTGAAAAACAAATTAAACAAAATTGATAATGTACCAGGAACATTTGAAATGTATACACTTAACATAATATTATACTCAAGCACTTGAACTGTTGTATGACCTTCAAATAAGAGACATCAAGATAATTCTGATATGAAGATTAATTCACATGCGTTGTGTTTTAATAGTTAAGTTTAATATAGTTTATTCTTGTGTTGCAAGCAATTTATATGAAATTCATTTGACACATTTTAAAAAAACATTGCTCTCAGCCGACGTCGGCTTATGCGACACTGATTATCATACTCTTTTCAAAGGGAAATGCATAGAAAAACAACAATGAGAAATAAACATATATTGATCATGTATTCGCACAGAAAATGTATGACGTTCAAGGTATAAAAATAATTTGCATCAATGGGGTATCTTGATAAACAATACTCCATTGAACCGCTAAATAGTGTACTAGAATATATAAACGGGACAATTCCTGAATATTTGCATTCAAAAATGGTTCTGAATCACATGCACATGATATTCTCTCCAAGCGTTTTCTGCTAGCACTCTCTCCCGGGCACTGTCTGCAATAATAGGGTGTACTCAAACCGAGGTGTTCTGCAATGGAAGATATGTAAATACTTCAATAAATCTTTGGAAAATATTAAACTTTCAGAAAATAATTTATGAGACTAAATTATGACACTTAAACACGTTAATTAATAGTTCAAATTCTCGGGACCCATCTCAGATTATACCAA